CAACAAAGTGTAAAGAATTTTACATGTAGGAAGTTTGGGGAATCACCAGACTGTCAATAGTGTGGTAGAAAGTCTAATAACTGTAAGTTACTGTTACTTATCAAAATGTATTTATATCAATTCAAAAAGGAACTGGCTTCCTTGGGACTGGATCGACTGAAACAAGCTTTGCAAGCTTTAGGCTTGAAATGTGGAGGGTGAGTATTGCTAACTGGTCACACGATGTTATACTTGATGTCATTAGCAGGGAAAAGTAGTCCAGCTTTCTTTCTCTGTGCCATTGGTCTAGTAAACTCTTTTTACCCAATTGACTAGTAATATACAAGACTTGTGCCTGGTTACCTTCATTGTCTTGGGCTAGAGTTTGGTTACTTGTGCAATATTACAATTTGAATTCTGTTTGGCTCCTTGCGATGTACATGTAGTCTAAATTTAAACAATTCATTTGTTTATTATTATTATTATTATCATTATTATTATTAGTATTATTAATTTGTTTTCAATTTGTTACAGGACACTCGAGGATAGAGCACAAAGACTGTTTAGCACAAAAGGTAGAGATTTCTCTAAGAGCTGCTTTACATACATTTACTGGTAGCTGTCTTTTGTGAAGATTCATTTTCTAGTAGTAACTTTAATGTAAGTATGCTGCAGTATTCCTGACAGCATATACAGTAGATGTGGTAAAACAACCAACCCTCTTGTTCTGCAATAGCAAGCTAAACTCAGCTTTATATCTGAAATGGACTCAACACGCGTTTATTATTGTTTTTTAATCAGGAGTACCACTAGATCAACTGGATCCATCATTTTTTGCGAAATCAAGAGCTGGCAAAGGACGTGATAATGCACAGAAACAAAAAGACATCGCAGCTGTTGAGGCTCAGGTTTACCACTTAACAGAGCTTCTTGGAGTGAGTGTGACAATTATCGTTTATTGAATACATATAGATTATTACGGGGTTACATTTTAGAGGCCATGCGACCTACAACAGTACATAAAGTTTATTGGAGTATGCCCTCTTGTGGATTGGTTTTTAACTCATAACAGGTAACTACTAGTGGGAAATGCCGTGCCTGTCTCCACCCAGGAGTATAAATGGATACCGGCGAATTGTCAAGGAATCCCGATGAAATGCTGGGGGTGACCTTGCAATGGACTACCATCCTATGGGGGGGGGGGGAGGGGTAGAAATACTCGTAGGAGCTTCATGGCACAGAAACCGGGATGAGCTCCAGCTTGATGGGTCACTGGGCTCGAGTGTAGTACCTTTTACTTACAAGTAACTCCGTCAGATTTTCCTTAAAGTCTACCGGTTGTAAAAATGAAGTTTTCTGCCTATGAAGTCAACACAAGTCCTATTTGCCCGGCATATTTTCAACACAAAGAGTAGTTTCGACTTCAGCCTCATGGTTTTTCACTATAATATACCCGTTTCAGTAACACTACGCCTCAGGCCAATGGTACAGAAGGTGGTTTATGCAAATTGAGGATTAAAAAAGTTATGCTCGGTTTTGAATGCTTTGGCATAAAACCCTCATGCTATGGCTAAAATATTAATACATAAGCTAGCATAATTGATATGTCTTGCGATTTTTCATGACAGGAACAGAGACAAGCCACAAGGGAGAATGTTGAGCGAAAGCAAGCACGCACGTCCGATGAATTGGAGGTAAATGTTTGCGCTAAAAAATAGATTTTGCATTATATGCGAGTAAAATCTTGCCATTTAGGGTCCTTCTTCTACAAAACCAAAAAATAAATAACACCATTCTTATTTGTGTTTTAACTTTATTAAGCCATCTTTATAAATAAAATATTTGGCGATTTTCGGTCCGAGTGTCGTAAAAACCTAAACCGAAGTCGTCACACCTTCACCAAAAAGAAAAAGGAGAATCTAGCCAGTAGCCAATGAGAACTCGAAGAGAAAAAAGGGAGCCTATTGAAGCGCGAGAAAACGTGGGTGATTAAGTCACCATTGGTTTTCGTTTTACATCTGATCTGAAAGCCAGTCCAAATTAGTCATGACCACGGCTAGAAATGGCCAAGATTATCCTTGCATGTTCGAACTAAAACGTGGATCACGAAGTCATGATTTATTCGAATCTGATTGGTTGACAGGGCGTTTGTAGACCAATAACAGAGCACAGTGAAGTAAAACAAGCACAACCCAGATTACATTCTGCTCAGTATAAAATTTCTTCGCAAATTTACAGCATCTTAAATGTTTTTCAACAGGAAGAAGAAGAGCATGAAGAGGGCCACGAGTCAGATTCTGATGATGAGGAAACCGTCCTTTATAATCCTAAAAATTTACCTCTTGGATGGGATGGAAAGGTACCTCCTTTGCCTTACATCTTGCTCATGCATGATGCTAAACTCTAGACTACTCTATGGATGTACTGACGGTGGTGTTTTCAATGTTTTTATTTTCTAGCCTATTCCATATTGGCTGTATAAGTTGCACGGGCTGAATATAAGCTACAGCTGTGAGATATGTGGCAACTTCACTTACAGGTTTGAGCAACGTACAATATTTGAAAATCAGTGGACGTTGATTTTTGATTTTTGATTTTATGCGTAGAGGAGTTTTCCGCTGAACTTTTTTTCTTAATATTCCATATAATGTATCCTACCGAGTTCAAAGGGGTGAAATAGACGTTTTCCACGGCAAGAGTGCACAAGTTGTTCGAGTGAAAACAAAGTTTGTCGGCAGTTATCCCATGTTTACTATATCTTTCTCATGCGTCACTTACCAATATTGGAATAAGAATTTTTGTCTTTCGCTTAGTTAGAATTTAGGATTTCGTCGTTATAGATGTTGCATTTTTAAGGTAGCTAATGATGATATTTGTTCGTTACAGGGGTCCAAAGGCGTTCCAGAGGCATTTCGCGGTATGATGAATCTCTTTTAGCGTTACTGCAAGCTTTATATTTGCACTAGAGCTCTATGACGGTCTTGCGGTATTTCTTATTTTTTTATGTAATGTCAACGTTCGCGCCAAGTTAAGTCGCAAGAAAGGTTAAGGCGCATTTATCGTTAAAAACCAAAACCAAATGAATCACAACGGCCTATCAGAACACGATGGCAACGTCACGTCAAGCCAATGAGATTTCAAAGTGAAAATAAGTAACCCGCGTGAAGCGCGCGACGGGAAAAGGCGAGTGATCAAATTACGATTGGTTTTACATGTTATTGTTATAGATTATGGCGCGAGTTTTCTCGACCAATTAGAGAGACGATGGGGAAAAATAATTACAATCCATGATTTATACTTTCGACACTAATTTGAAAATTAAGCCCAGCTTGAAGACTCTATAGCGTTTTATAATTTTAAATTTGTTGTTTATTACATAGGAATGGCGTCACGCACACGGCATGAGATGTCTTGGAATCCCAAATACAGCGCATTTTGCCAACGTCACTTTGATAGAAGATGCTGTTGCATGTAATGATCGATTTCTTCTGTCGTTTTTAATGATAATTAATAATTATTTGTAGGGTGCTCATGAACGCTTGTTGCGATGAGTCCATCGCAGTTTACATCGTTTAAACCGTGTTTATGAGTGGTGCTCGGGAGTGAGTGGGGAATGGGGGAACATTTATACAGGAATGCAAAAATGCTAGCGAGACATTGAGGCATAGAGTGTGAGCGTCCGCATCCAGCAGAGTGTATTTTGTTATCTGTACACTCAACCGTAGTACAGTAAAACGTACCAGACCTTTAATATTGTGGGCTTTAGTAATGGTGAAACATAAACTTCATGGGACTTACTGTCGGAAGCTCTAAGGCGCAGCTCTCTAGCTTGTCAACTTGGAGATAAGAATCACTATGAAAGACACATGCTCTTCTTACTTATACCACAAATGCCTGAACTGTTCATTAACACTAAGCTGTAGTTGTCCAAAAGTGCCACATGTTCTTCCCTTACTTTTTCTGGAAACGCAACTAATTATTGTTTCTTTTTCATTACCGTTTATTTATTTATTTTTTTTTTTATCACAGTATGGCATAAGTTGAAGGCTGTGAAGGCCAAAGAACGCTGGCTTCCTGATCAAGAGGTAAATCCATCCAAAGTTTCGAGTTTTGCTTACTTTCCTGTCTGTACCGTTGTTTAGTTACGGTAACTCCTTTCTTGGTAGATGCAACCACTGTTTTGATTCCGTGAAATTGGTATTGATAACATGCCTACATATGGTCTTTTTTAGTTGTGGTATTTTTATTTCTAAGACACACACAGTGGCAAAGGAACTCTGAAGCGTCATACGACGACTCCTTATGCTAACTAGTGTTTAGGCGTGTATTTCATGACCGATTCCGCCGGGTGATCTGTGTGATTATTGAACTTGAGAAGTTATTTATTCATTGGTCAGAAAAGAAATTTTCACCTTATTTCTCTTGGAAAGTTTTCCGAAAGCCTCCACTAAATTCACCTAGTCTTCGTGGTTCCCATTCGAAGATATTATTTGTGGCGAGTATTTAATTTTGTGGCGGAGTGAAGTATCGATGAAGTAACTTTTGATTATTTGAAGATGATCGAGTGATGACATAGTCTCCTTTCCACCTTTCCTTTGAGATGTTATGGAACGCTTAGCCCGTGACATCTCAAAGAGCAACAGCGAAGGGGACTGGTGATAACGAGCGATTGCAAGGTCTTAATCACCTTACTTTGATTCTGTTTGTAGGAAGAATACGAAGATTCTCTCGGAAATGTTGTAAACAAACGGACGTTTGAAGATCTGAGTCGTCAAGGATTGTTGTGAAGATGTCACAGTCCTCGTTTATTTCTCCTATTCTCCAAATTTGTATTTTTTAACGTAACGAAGCAGTGTCATTCTCTTAGTTGTTTGGTGTGCATAGCGATAAACACCTTTATTTCATGGAAATTCATCTTATGTGTCAAGTAACTTACAAATTACGACTGTGAAATGTAACACTTTTGCGTGGTCTGATGCAAGATAAAAAGAGTTTCAATTCTTACATTTAAGTGCTGATTACATAAACTGTGTCTGAAACAACACTCACAAGACCTTTTAAGTCAGTGTTACAAAGTAAAAAGCAAATGCTTTTAATCTTGCGCCGAATTCGAGGTCTTCTTGGATTCACTCGTCTTGATTATGACATAGTCTTGGTGGAAAAGTCCCCTCACTCCGTCACACGTGCCCTACGAAGAAATTAAGATAGTTTGTGTAAAAGAATTATTGATGGTGCTGTTAAAGAAGGGTTTTGCGCGCCCTAGTTATGCAAAATTTTGGATGACATTCCTCGAGTCACCGACATTCTGGTCTTCTTTCTTTCAAAATGAAATTCCATGCCTTCTGGACACGAACACACGTTTACAACTACTCTTTCTTGATGTTAATGAAGCTGGAAAAAAAAATAGGTCAGCGAGAGAAAAAATTGTCGTACAAAACTTTGCAATTCTCTACCGCTTGCTTGCATCTTTCCTTAGTGGGCGATGAAAAAAGAAAGACGAGAATAGGCATTGATCGCGTGTGATAGGATGCCAGTGTCAAAATGTAACTTTGGGAAGGAAATTTAAGCTTCTAACTTGCTCGGACCGACGGATTCTTTCCTTTATCAAAGTGCCTCCAGATTTCTGACATTGGCTGAATCAGCTTATGCTGATCTGACATGGAACGATTTGTTGCAGTGTGGGAGCTTATGATGGGAATTTCTAGACCTCTTGGGTGGAGGTAAATGCAAAGTGCACTTGATAACATTTCAGTTTGTCCAATTTTTACCTCGTACCACCCCTCCTTGTCGTCGACTCTAACAATATCTTGCACGATCTGTCCCTTTGCTAAACAAAGCTCGTTGTCATTGGTTGGCTCATAAGATGTATGTATGTAGCCATGAGAATTCCGTCGCCAGAATCTTTCGACAGTGATCCCTGAAAAACAAGGAAATAATTATGACGAGTGGGAATTTGTTTGCTCAACTGCAGAGAGTAAAGCTTTGAGACTGGGCCTCTAAGATGCCCTGTGACACAAGTTATTTCCAGATCACTGTGGGTTACGAGATGTTCGAGTGAGCCTGAAATAACAGATCCCTTGTCACTAATTTTAGTCCCGTAGATACTGTGAGCTCTAGAGAGCCTACAACAAAGTAATAACAACGGCCAATCAGAAGACAGAAAAAATACTTCAAAGAGGCAATAAGAACTAGACACTGAAGACAAAAAGTATTGCATCTGATTGGTTGAGAGAGTGGCGCGAGTTTCCTTGAACAATCAGAGCGAAGTGGAACAAAACCAATGAAATCTTGGATTACTTTGGACACAATTGAAAATTTCTCTTAAAGCTTGAAGATAACGCCTTAGGAATACTACCTAGATATCTCATTTCAATTGCGAGTCGTGGAACCAAACTAAAAGTAATCATAACAACCAATTAGAAGAAAGAAAATTAGCGTAAGGAGCCGATCGAAACCCGAAGAAGAAATCAGGAAACTGCCTCGAGCGCGGGATAGGGAAGGTGAGAGATTATCTCAAATTTTTAAGGCAAATCGTTCAAAGAAGTGAAGCAAACTCAATGCAATTTCGGATTACTTTGGACACCCGATTGAAAATTGCTTTATGAGGATGTCAGTCCCTTATCTTTTAGAGGAGTATGCGTCTATTGCAATACTTACAAAGTGTTTTGAACGTTTGACTCACGCGCCCTTCACTTCCAGTTCCGGCAATGAAACAACTCCATATTATCAGCAGCCAGCCAATCAGAAGGGTGAAACCCATCACCCCCAAACCCTGATTGGTCAGTTAAGAAACCAGTTCTACTCAGTGAAGAGGAGATGATAAGATTACTTTATCTCGTCTGGAGGCAGGCATTAACAATTAATTTCTGTGAAAATTGATCTTGGAGTCAATTTGATTCTAGGTAACGATTAATTCTCCGAAATAATCAGGCCCTTAAATTTGACAAATTGTATCGACTAACTCACAGATTAAGTGAAAGCGAATCGGGCCTTCGCTGTATCGAACTAATGTTATGTTAGATTTTGAGTATTTCCTCTCCATCTGGATGATTTTTACAATAATGTCGTGAGAAATTCCGTCGAAATGAAGTGTTTTAAGGTGAAGGATACAGCTTGCATGAGGGCTCTTTGATAAGCCCTCTTTGATTTCTCGATCTTTACATTACACCAGTCGTAGATATACCGCAAGTCTTTCTTTGGCACATTGTTAGTTTTTGTCTTCCAGCCTTCGTTGCAAACACAAACCGAACCAACGCGCCGGCCGTGATGACAGTTGAGTGGCACCTGTCAATCAAACAAACACTGTCATTTTGATAGATTGTCTCGTGTCTTTAAGTTAAGTTTGGAGGATAAATCGGAAACAGAATACTCAGTAGAGTGTCTTGGAAACACATGGGTTGAAGGCTTCAAGATCAGACTACGCCCTGTAGTCGGTGAGGGCCATATCCAGTCATTATCTCCTTGATAGAGTAATTTTCGATTGCGGGTCAGACTGCATTGGTTTCTTTTTTTAATACGCTATGTGATTGGTCCAAAAATTTTGCACTAGCCTCTCAACCAATCGCGAGTCGGTTATCCGTGTCATCCCGCCATCCTCTTAAGAAATCATGCATGCATAAACCAAACCGATCATCAGGACTTGCTTCTCTGCGTTTTTCTGCACTCGAGGTTGTTGACATTGTTTCGTTGACCGTTTTTCTTTAACAACCGCTCTGATTACTTTGTGAGATAAAGGGGTTCAAATATACTGGACATTCTGAGAAAATTAAAATTTTCAGCTCACCGGGTTTATTTCTTTGATATCCTCTAAGGTAAACTTCAATTTCGCCAGTTTGCTTCTCTCCATGTTGTCATAGATCTGCTTTTTCTGCTTTTTGGTCAGCGTAGGGCTTACCAGACTTTTGCAGTCGTTATAGTCTTTGTCAAATGCCTGTTGCAATGTAAACAATATCAAGCAAATTATGCCACGCTTTCTTTTAAGTCGCCCTTAAATCCTCCCCAAAATGCGTTGAACAACCCGGGCGAGTGGTCGTGGGCTTGACGCGAGTCTCTTGACCGATGGAAAAGTTTCCTAATGTTTTCTAGTTTTAGTTTTAGTTTTTGTTTTTCGCACGATTTAAGGACTGCGCCTTTCCTCTGCAATACTGCATAAGTGAAGAACTTACAATTTCAGGTAGCTCTCCTTCCTTGCCCTTTGTGTAGCACTCATGAATAACTTCACACTTTCCTGTCGAGTTTTTGAAGAAATTTCTCCATCCATTGTACTTTTCAACGCAGTCCACAGGCTCACAATTTTTCCTGGGGTCCTGGTAACAAAAATCATCACGATGTTAGGAATTATCCTCTAAATCAGCAGGTTTCAGACGGTCTTATTCCTATTAAGGTGACTAGATTCTGCTAAATCCTCCCTCTTCTCATTGCGTACTCAAAAAGCATCAAGAAAAAGTCCATTATTAGAACTGTACGGTCATTCCGGTGGATTTAATAGTACCGGAGGAAGAGAAATTGACAAGACCTGTTCATTTAATTTCCGCTTTTTGAACTTTTTCGACGGTCATCGACAAGGACGGCTTTAGAAAAATTCAAAAGAGCTTGAAAGCAAGTAATGAAGAAACATAACAAAAGAAGAGTCCAACAAAGGGAATACTTTATCGAAATGTACAAATCACGTGTGTCGTAAAACACATTAATACATTTTTAGTAAATGGGAGATACTTTCATCTTTTTCGTTCGACCTACATTAACCTCTGAAGAAAGATAAGTGAGACCATAGGTAGATTTTTCGATTTGGATTTTCAGTGGACGCGCTTCTAAACTATATATTTCACAACTAGCAAAATCTGGACATCCTTGTAAACTAACCCTATCAACTCCTCGGCATTTTCTGAAACTGTCACCTCCAAACCCGATAACTGTAAAGAAAAAAAGCACTCCCTTTCACTTATCTGATACTTCTTATTTACTTCTCTCTTTGCCTGAAACACAAGGTTTCCGAGTCTGAAAACACTATACAGCTAGAGTGTTGCTATTTTAGGTGAACTATTTTTCAATTAATTGAATGTTTTTTATTCGTTCTGCTGTGATGGTTCAGTGACTGGTTGGGAACTGTAACTTATTTTGTAACATTTGAGGACCTGTAACTCATTTTATTTACTAACCAACTTACTGATGGGTAAAGGGCAAATGTGGAATAGTGTTAATCAATGACTACAAATTGATGCTGATATCCAAATTTTTGGGAAATATATGACCCTGAGTTTAACACAGGAACTTCAGGAAAATGTCAACATAAAGTTTTGCCTTGGAGACCTAAACTCAAACAAGAGTTCTATCCAACATGATTCTAGGTAACAAATAATTCAAATTCTGTTTCACTCTAACCATATGAATAAATCAGGAAGAGATTTACCATCTAACCAAGATTTTTTCTTTGGTTCTGTGGTATTAAATCTGACTCTGTGTCGAAGCTGTTTCTCCCCAGCCATGAAGGTAAAGTCACAATTTCCAATTCTGTCCATTGGGTACTGTTGTGAGACGAAAAGAGTATTCATCACATTGTACAGGGCAGTTTCTTCAGATATTTCAGTAGAGCTTATTGTTACCTTCCCATCTCCAGTGACTTTATTATCAAGCATTGCTTCTAAAGGCACTTAAAATACTGAACAAGGCTTAAAAGAGCTAATTTTCTCTGATTGGGAGGTCGATTCCAAGCCAATAACTTACATCAAAACAACAAAATTCAAGTCAACCTAGGGCAGACTCTCAACCAATAAACATATCAAAAAATTGATTGAAGTCTTGCCTGACCCTTTCATTCCCAAGATTTCATTAGCAATTCTCTTTGCTATCTGTCACATAATTCTTATGATGTTAGTTCTGAGAATTTGGTATTGGATCAACTAATAATTTTCTAGTATATATTTTTCTTTATCCTTATCACTTACCCACTTAATATTGTATTGGTATAGTAAGGAGAAATTCTGTCTTGGTCACTCGTGGGAGTCAAAGGGTTCATGGATAATTTTGTGTGTTTGTGTGGTGCTTTGTGTTCCTTATCACCAAGCTACACAACACCTGATTGATGCACCTCTACATTAAATTATTTGTAAAATCGATTTTTGATCCTTCTGTGTGAATAAGAAAAAACAAGTAAACAAGTAAACATTCATCAGCGAGGAACTTACTTTGTTTGGAAATACATACGAGATATTTTCGCGTTTCAGTGATGGAAGCTGTATTTCATTGCCACCTATAAGCTCCATGGACTGATAAAAAAAAAAAAATTAAAAATAGTTCACAGATATTTGAAGTTGTCTCATATCATTCATCAAAGAAACGATTCTCTCAGAGGTTTTATAAAAATATTCCAACCTTACAATCTAGGTCGTTTTTGTCAACTTGCCAACAACATCTCGGTTTTTTCGGGGTTATTGTGAGCGTTTTCTTCGCATCGTTGGCAAGTGTTATGTCTGAAGAGAAATAAGATACATCGTGACGAAAACACATCACATGATCGCGATAAATCTTCTCTCATTTCAAATGGATTGCAAACGAAACAGAGTCACTCGACGTTTTGTGTAAGTAAGGCCATGATCAGTTTTGTAGCTACTTACAGAATTGGATTCCAAAACTTTTAGGATTTACTGGAAAGATACCCGAACGCTGAAAAAAAATTACTATAATAAGAAACATTTTTCGGTGGGGAAATTAACCGTATTACTGGTACGGAATAATTCAAGCAACTGGCGATGGTTAATCATCAGGGATCATGATAATAAAGGATCATGTCAATAAATGAAGACCCAAACCGCAAAATTCACGATTTGCAGAAATCGGGAGTTCACTTCTTTCCAAAACGATGAAATAATCTCATTCTTTCACCAGCTGAAGTTTTTCGATTAAAGATAGGCCTCTGAATCAAAAGCATATATAGCTTAGCCTGTGTTAATTGTTAGCGGCTGTTTGAACAATAATGAACTTACACGTTACCGCTTACCTCTACATGAATTTTACCTAGTATTTGTGAAAGAAAGCAGAGCCAAAATATTCGAAACACAGTTTTCATCTCTCTAACGTTCTGAGCATTGAAGAAGAAACGTAAGCTGTGAAAATGAAAAGTTTGCGAGGTTTTTTCCTTCTCGTTTAACACTCTGCACTTCACGCGCCATTCTCGTCCCCAGAGCCAATCGTTTCTCTTAGTTGGGGTAGGCTCTGAGTACGAGGGATACATGGATTACGTCTTTGCAAAATAACTTAGGCTTACCTCCCTCTTCCCTCACTTTCCTTTCCCCACCCCCAAAATGATTGTATTCATATCGTTGTTTGAACAAGCGAAATGTTCTCAGCTCTCCGCTGCAGCACTTTTGTAATGTGGCTAGCTTTATGGCCTGGATTCCAATTGAGGTCAACTTCTTAATTAAGAGCACAGGGTTGGGTAAAGAGATTACTGACTCTGGGTCTTTTAGGGGGCTGAGAACCATTTTCAGGCTCAAATAACCAGATGAATACTTTTATTATAATTATCCTTGTTGGGGGTTGGGGAGGAGGGGAAGAAAAAAAATAAATTAAAAGAAGAGGAATGAAAAGCAACAAAGTTGACAAAGACATGATAGAGATGGTTGTTTTATCATTATGGGGCTGGTTCCACCATTGAGTACTTTTGTAACCAATCATAAAAATCATGCAAGGTAAGCAATTAAAAGGGAAAAATTGGCAAAAAAAGTGTGTTGTTTATTGAATAAAAAATATGTGGCACTGACATGGAAAAGTTTTCCATGATGAGAAAAAAGCTGCAGACTTGCAATTTATTGAATTCATTTTCAGTTCTGTTTATTATCTAAATACCTAAATTGCTATTTTTGTTGTTGCTGTTGTTGATGTTGATTATATTCATCCTCTAAAGAAGGTTCATTCTGCTGATTGACTTGTTCTTCATTTCCTTGTACACCCTCAGAATTAGATTCTTGCTGGCTTTGTTCTTGATGTTGTTCTTCTTGTTGCTCCTGTTGGTCTTCCTGTTCATGTTGTTCATTCTGTTGGTTTTCCTGTTGAGGCTGGTGTTGTTGTTGATCCTGTTCTTGGTTTTCTTGTGGTTTATTTTCATCCTGTGCCTGATTATGCTCTGAAGACTGTTGATTTTGTTGTCGTTGATTAAATTCTTGCTCTAGAGATGATTGTTCCTGTTGCTGTTCTTGCTCTTCCTGGGTTTCTTGTTCTCCTTCCTGAGGCTTGTCCAGGTCTGTCATGAATGAGTTTACTTTTGAGTTCATCAGCTCAATAAAATCAATCATACCATCATCATCTCTGTCATGTTTCATCAGAAGTTCATCTACAATGGCTTCTGCTTCATGCTCAAGGAACATGCGCCCTCCTTCTTTGAATTCACCTTTGCTATCATCTTCTGTGTGAAAATCTGTCAGTGCATTCATCCATTCTAAGCCATCTAGCTTTTGGTTGTCATCATAATCATGAAGCTTGAAGAAATAAAATATACCTGCAGACAATAATAATCATAATGTTAACCCTTCCTTGCTGTTCCTCTTTTTTGCATACATGCATGCATTACAAGCATTACTCAGGGAAATCTGCCATCATGCCCACTGCTAAAATCCATGGTTTACTTTTTCACTCATAATCTCAAATTTTGAGCATCCTTCCAGGTGTATCTTGTGGTTAATGCACTTCTACATTGTTGGTGCTTTATTCTGGTTCTCTTTTTTATTGATTTAGTATTGGGTATCATGATAAGGACCTATTCCTTGTTTCCTGTGTAACAGAGACAACAAAAAAACAACAACAACAAAAAACATACAAGAACTTGGAATACTCAGAGTCATCTTTCAATAAACTAGATAGTTCTCAAGGGGAGTAGGAAAAGTTTTCTTTTGGAGGGTTTTCAAATACAATGTTGCTGAATCTTTTAAACCCACATAGTAACCAGCATCCAGTTTCTTCTTACAGTAACACTTCTTAATCATTCATGAAGATCATGAGAATAAAGGAAATGGTTGTCAATCCATGAGGCTTTGATTATTAAAAACATTCTCCTTATCAGTGCCAATGGAAATGTGTAGAGAAGAGTATAGAGAATATCAATACTGTTGTTACGGTGTAAAGGGTTACAATTTGGTCTCAACAATACCTTTAGAATTGTCACCATTTTGCACATCTTTTATTTCTTGGTCTTGTCCAGTTACTTCCCCTAAGTGTTTTTTTATATGTCTGCAACGTAACAACAGCAGGTATGAGAAAACAAGAAGCAAAAGGGAAGGAAGGTAATATGAAACAATAATTATTGTTGAAATGCTACAGGGCAATTATGTTTCCTTGGAAATATATTTTCAACTGAGTCTATATTTTTCAAATCAAGTTTTAATTTACAAAGTATATTTTAATGCTTTCTTGTGTAGGAGCCTTTAACAATATGAAAAAATTCTAAAAATAAAAGTGAAATACCTCAAACCTTCTCCATCCAGATCCATTCTGTCAGCTAGATGAGCAAGTAAATGTCTAAAATGATGGAATTGATAAATTAAGTAAATAATTACTTTTTTAAAAGACAGCTTCTAAATGGTTCAGCCATATCACTGTTGACAGCAATCAGAGTTCTGAAATTGAAGTAGCAAGTTCTAAATACTCTGAAAAGAGTAGAGAGAAGTTGCTAAAAATGCCTGGGGTGTGTGTTTGATGGCTCTTTTTCCATGATCCCCAATTATGTACTTTGGCATAAGGTGGAATATGTGTATTATCATTTATGCAGCTGTTTTACAGAATAAATATAGGAAAGAAAACAGACTTTTCTAAAATTAATTCCTCATTCAATTTAACTTGAATATTATACACACCCGCTCTCAACAGTCAGCTTTGTATCAACATAATTTACTAATTAAACAAATTTTTTTCAATAATCTTATCACTCAAAAACTGATCTTTATTTTGCTAAGAAAATGTTAAAAAACAAATTATTTTTTTCTTAAAATTTTAACAGGAGTGATTCTTCTTATTTCAAGAAGGCTGTTTAAATCTTACAAAATGGTCTTATTCAAGGACTACTTTTGAAAATTTTCTTACACTCGGTAATGAACAGTTTGGATGTTATATGAAAAGGCGCATTGTTTAAGTTGAAATTCACTTGAAGAATATTCAGGTTTGATTTGTGTCTAGAGCCCTGGTAATCATTGAACAGGAAGTGGATTTGATAAAATTTCCGCACAGCCCCATACCCTTGTAAAACAAATCTGTTTTCCCACTGGCAATGTATTGTTTTTGTCATTGTTTCCTCTATCCAAGAACTGAGTGAATAATGTTGGATGGAGCTGTGCGGAAATTTTACCGTGGATTATATCTCAAATGAACTGAACAAGGTGTTAAAATGTCTAGTTATCGATGTATCTGAAAAAAGATCAGCAACGGTTTCAATCGTAATGTAGGTAAGTATTGTTGCACTTCTTTAACCTGAGGTTGTATCCATCGCATACCATAAATTTAAGTAAGAAAGTTTAATGGCTCTTTAAAAAAAAATCACATTCAACTCGCCTTCTCTCCTGATTTTGTTTGTGGAATTGAGCTGTGTCCTCTATCGGTGTTGAGTGAGCGTTGTTTTCTGCTGTGTTTTCTGCATTTTCCTGTCCATTAGACAGTCCGTGAATAGCACAGCATGACAATAAATAATATATCATTAGTTCCGTCTTGGTAAGTTTCATTTTCACGAACAAGGAATTCAGTCAATTCGCACTCTTCACAAGAGCTCTCCGTTCGAACGCCGGTGTTCTCCTTAATTTGTCAACACTTCATGTCATTGTCGACGTGGATCACGAAAGATTTCATTTAAATTCAGTTGCACGGAGTAATATCACGTTGCCTCAAAGTATGTAATTGACCGCTAAACGTAACTCTTCCCTCGCCAATCAGCTTACAGCAAGATTAGCAAAGTATCCTACCTACCCCTCCCCCTTCACTTTCTTAGTTAGCCTTCGGTAATAAGTAGATGAAGTATTTATCACAGTTTTACAGAGTTATTGGGTAGGAGAAAATATTCTTCAAAAGGAGAAAACTAACTGTTTCGAACATATATTTTTTCCGGTATCGTGGCCACAACATATATTTGTAATGTGTACCGGTGTTGTTAAGCAGGGGTGGGGAAAATTAATACATATCCTACCAACACTTTCTAGGGCACATGTTTACTTTCGAGAGTACGGAGTAGAGCCTTGTAAGGAGTGGTGTACTTGAGAACTTAGTATGATAACCCTGTTAAAGACAAAACCTGATGCTCAGTAATAAAACGACACAAAGTTTCTGCTGCCATTGTTTCTACGTCACGAAATAACTAGAGCACCAAATGTCACCCCATACCCCCTTCCCCAGTGAAGGCATTTTTTTCGCGGGTAAATTTCGCGCAGTTCGTGAGTAAGGATCTGGGGACTACAAAACATCGACGCCTTGCAAGTTTGGCTATGGCTGAATTTGGAGTTACCTCTACGAAGGTAACGTATAAATGGCCCCTCAGATGATTTGTAAACTTGTTGTTAACATCTTCAAGAATGTCTGGAGATCCGATACGGGAGATTTCTCATCAGTTCACTCTGGTGGCATCTCTGGAAGCCGCCACTCGCACGGAAAGACGGGTAGGAATTCATGTACAAAATTCCAAGTTCGTGTTGTATGTTATCTGTCAGGGCGAAGAATATCGTGACTAAAGGTTCAATCAAACTACATGTGAGGAGTAGGTCATCGAAGTGAAATTTCATTGATAACTTTGGCCCATTTTTAGCGAGCAATTTTATGTGCGCAGTCTAGTGAAAAGCTGTAATTCAGTGAGAATTTGTTCTGATTCCATATGAGGTCTTCAACCGGGTTTTTTTTTCTTAAGTTTTAGTTCCAATATGACGACTGCTTGTTTATTCTATCTAATGCGTAGAACTTAACTCAACGCTTCACATTAAGATTGTTGTTTTGCAAGCAAGAAATACCTGTATGATGATGCTTTTTTTCGAAGTATTCAGCTTTTTTGATACCACGTTAACTTAAATACTGTACGTATCTGCACGGAACTTTCATGAAAGAACATGATTGTGAATGTGAAATTTCTATCTCATGGTAGTTGATGAGGGCGACCTCAGAATCAAGTATCGTGCTTGATATATGGAAATTGAAAGGGAATGATGTATTAAGCCATTTTACACTTATGTACTTAGTTTCAAGCCTTTGATTAAGAGTGAGGCTGAAGATGACCTTGTTATGGTAGAGACCAGTATCTAGTAAGCATAATAACAAAGCAATTTACATTTAAATAGAAGCAAGGTTTGTATCATAACATGGTCACCCCTAGCCTCACTCCTGTTCAAAGGCTTGGTAACCAAGCACCCAACAGTAAAATGGAGTATTGTTTTAGCATATTTCTACTATTTGTTCAAGAATTAACATCACAACAGGCTCATTTTTATTTGTGCATGATGATATAAATCAATCATGCCATATATCAGGGGACAGATAGGGAGTACTGTAGCCAAACGGATTACAGCATTTGTTATAGAATGCCAGAAGATAAATACAAATTTCTGAGATTTTTTTGTAGAGGAAAATAATAATCACAGGAAATTTAACAAATGCAACCATAATGAATGGAATGGGGTTGGGAGATAGGTGAAGAGAAAAGAAACTGGTGATGGACTTCTTGTGAGATGCAAAATTCTCAAGAATTGGTGAATTATCCTTATTTGGCTTTATAATAACAATAATAAACAAAATTATTTTTTCCATGAGAACCTTCTTGCAAATTAGTTACCTTTCTGTTATAAAAGAAAACTGCATTTAAGGTCATCCAGCATTGTTCCCTGTGTATTGCTGATTTCACTGCACAGTGAATCATGTACCATTAAAAAAAACTGGCCTCAGTTTATAATTGAAGATTGCAAGACTTTTATGTTTTAAGTTAATTAAAATAATTGTCTGTTTGGGTTTTAGAATGCTGCAACTAACATCCTTCTGCAGTTGCGTTCATCACAAGTCTTGAGTATCATTGATGAGAACACTGATCTAAAGAAGAAGAAGGCTTTGACATGGGATAATGCTTTCAAGAATGTTGGAATATTTGTTGTGTCTGAGTTGGATTATATTGAGAACCTAAAAACTATTGAAAAGAGACAAAAGGTAAAATAAGAGGAGGTAATTTAGTGCTAAAAATGTAACAGGATACTCTCTGCAGTTACAATTCATGAATTAAAAAACATTAGTTAAAGGTATGACTGTTGACTTTTTTTTTTTTTTTTTGAGAATCTTATCATACAAAGCATCTGCAATGAAGCATCCTTAATTCATAGCACACAATGTATAATTAAATAGCTGTTAATATCAGGGTTCTACTTTCTTTGATAGGAAATTGTAACATTTGTGCGAGGTTTCTTGAAGAAAGCAGATGAGCGTAAGTTTCTTTTCTTCAGTTAAGTTACCATTCTTGTAGTCTTAAATGCCAGAAGTTGAGTCTCTTAGCTTGTGATATATGTTTGGTATTGGACTCTGAATCTTGATGTAACCTCTTTTGTATTAGGTATAGAAGATTAGGTTCATTTAGTTTATTTATTTTACTTTTCAATCAGTTCTCCTTTTTTTGTAAGTTGTACTTTACAGCCCTTCAGAGAATTAAGACCAGACATACATATCATGAACTTTTCAGGGGGTCCTCGTTTGAAGGCAGAAGATGTAGTATGTCATTTTATGAAGATATTCAAAGAGCCTAGGTATGCTAGCCAGATGGGTCTTGAGTACTGCAAGCAATTAAAGAACATTCTGACTGTTCCATTATATCAGCGTGACATTACCATGAAGACATGGAAAGGTATGAGAATTCTTGGGACAGTGTTTCTTGACAAAAGTGTAATCTTAAATCTTAGTTTAAAGTATCAGCTTATAAAACATTGGTAAGGGACTATGGGGTTGCAATAGAGTTTGGGTAGGAGTACTGCATTTCTGACAGGGTTAATAACTATTATTAGTGGTAAAAAATAGCAAGAAATTTCTCTGTATATTGTTAGGAAATTTTTAATCACCTTAGAGACCACAACTTTATTATGGTAGGTCAGTCCTAATTGTGAAATTTTTTTAATGAGATCAGAGTTCTAAAAATACCATTATGCTTGCACTGGTAACTGGTTATAAGTGATTGTTTTCCCCCTTGGTAGAGTTTCAGTGTCACTGAATTTTGAGAAATTTATTGTCAAGTCTAATTATTTCCTTGTGCTCTTGTTAGAATTGATTCCTACATTTGTGTCCTTTATGGAGGAAAAACCTTCTTGGTTGTCAAATGGACAACTAACAGTGGCACAGATACTTAATCTCTTGGTTGAGGGAGCAGCAACCCTTTACACACTGAAGGGAAGCAAACTCTTTAAATTTTTTGAAAAGATCTTAAAGGAGATTTGGTAAGTTATTATTGTCATGATGAGTAAATGTTAATTTTACTTCAAGATTTAAAGTGGCAGCGTGTTGGATGCTGGATTTGAAGCAAACTTAGTATTACTGGTTTAATATCTACTCAGTTGATAATGTAAGCTGGCCACTATAAAGAGTTCCTAATGCTGACATTAATTTAGCAGAAAAATGATCAAAATGTCAGTCTTAGAAACTCTTTACAGCAGCCAATGTATGTCATCAACTTAGTTGATAAAACCAAATAATTATCTTGTTATACCTCCCACTGATGCTGATATTTTTATCTCTTCTTGGTAGTTCTCAAGATACTTACCACCTAAACATTTATTTTACTCCTGTTACCATTTGTTTCTTTCTCTTAACTTTTTCTTAAAGGAATGATAATAACATTGTTATCGTGGAACACTTCCTTGCTGCACTGAATGCTTTTGTTAAATCAAATGGAGATGACTGTCGTGGCCAGGTCTGTCATCTTGGAGAAAGTGTGTTTCCTTGCTTGCTCACAATGTGGAAAAGAACTCAGGGTGTTAACTCGTCCTTGAAGGTACAGTGTCTTAACCTCATTAGTTATTCTCCTTACTGTCTGCCTTACAATTCTTCTGATGTTAGTTAAGAGAATTTGATATTGGATCAACTGATAATCTTCTATTTGATATTTTTCTTTATTCTCATCACTTGCCTGCTTGTTATTAATTATAAGGAGAAATTATTTCTTGATCACCTATGGGAGTTAAAGGGTTAATTGTATCAAATATTTCCATAAACTGATCAGGGTACCCTAGCAAGGGTCATTGAAACCTGGGAAATTACAGAATTAATTTAAAAATTTTTTTAAACCAAATTGTTGATTGAAGGTCATGGAAAGTCGAGTTCGCCCCTACCTTAAATTACTTTTTTCAACCCCAAAATAATCATGTCAGCTAAAAGGTAGAACCAAGACAAGTTTTGAATTTTAATTGACCGACAACATTTTGAAAGTTTATATGTGTGTGAGGACGTGGTTTGCGATCCTGGTTTGCATTTTCTCAAGTCTGGTTGCTATGACCTTAAAACACAATGAAGTGTCTGTCTTAAATAATATGATGTAAATTCTTCAGTCTTGATTTATATAAAGCTAAATGAGGTACAAGTCTAACAACTATGCTGTCGCGATGAAAGCGTGGTTTGCATCTTCTCAAGTCTGGTTGTTACGATCGACACATTTCTCGTTAGATACCCAGGTTGTTTTACAAGTCTGAATAATTGCAAAATTATCTGTGACATTTGGCACATTCTGTTAGCCTTCATCACAATCAACTCATCTGGATATCACTCAATCAAGGGGCGAACTTGACTTGATGGGGTTGAACGAAAAGCTGACGAACGCGGTGCCGTCATGGAAAGTGGAAATTATTTAAAATAATCCAGAAAAAGGTCTTTGAAAACTTTGAGGATTAGTACAAACCTATCTGATATTGCTTTCCAGTTTATATTAGGTCACTACTTTATCCCCTTTCTACCTCTTAAGGAACTTTGAAAATTATCTGTAACACCTAGATTGCACAAATGAGGGAGTCATGGAACAGCTGACACCCAAAGAATGATAAGTCAAAGATAATGGCTCTCAAAATATCTTTTTCTAACACTCAATTTGTATAAGTGAGCGAGCAATAATTCTCTTGTCCTGCTCTCTAGAAAAGAACCTTCAGTTGACAGATCAAACAAGCAGCAGGGTATTAAGTAAAATATTTTTGCATTACAAATTTGTGTTTTAGATGGAACATCTGTACAAAATAAATGTTTCAAAATTGCAGGATCACCTGATACAGTTTATGAGACTACAGATTTGTGCACATCATCCTTTTGGAGCTCACGAAGATAGTGAAGGGGGCTGGAGCAGTAGTGTCAATCATTGGAAGGTTTGTTTTATTTATGTGTTTATATCACATCATCTTGTGGTCCAAAGTCCCAATGATGAATTGTGAAGGAGAAATTAAAGCTTTGTTAAATGTTGTAAAATCACTAAGAATTTTCTTCTTCAAAAAAGGTCAGTCATCTCATGTTAAGTGGACATCAGGCCACATTTGTTCAAGAAAGGATAAATTTATCTGCTAGATAGTGATTAATCTAGCAGATAAGAAGTTATCCAGTCATAAAATAACTGGGGCCTGTATGAGAGACATTTTGCTCTTTTTTTTTCTTTTATCTGACTAGGAATGTCTCCAAAGATTGTATGGAGCAGTTATAGCTGATATAGATCAGTTAAAGAACAAAGTGTCACGTTCCTCTAGGTATGTACTTAGTTACACCAACTGTTTTTAGTGCAGCTACTCTTACTAGGGTTAGCACTTTGTCATGCACTCTGATGAAGGGGCTAATGCTCAAAACGTCAGCTTAGAAACTCTTTATGGTGACCAATTTACATTTATTCAGCAACTCAGGTTATGATACCAAAATTATCTTGTTATACTCCCCACCAACACAGCATTGCAGTTTCCTCAAAACTTAACCCCTTTGCTCTTACCAGGTTCATGTAAATGACATAATTATTAAACTATCACAGGAAAAAAAATGCTATGATTCTAAAAAATTGAATAAGTGAGACAGATTTAGCAGCAAAGTGGAAAAGATGACAAATACCTTAAAGCGATGAAAAAACAGGATTAGGATTGTATATGATGAGGATTGTTTGAATTTAGCAGAGATATGGTTATCTATGGGTTAGAGCAAAGAGGTTGAGAAGCCAGGTCAAGTGTGTTTTTGGTGATATTTTTATTATATAGTCTGTAACTAGCTTATTATCTGAAAGAAAATTTATTTCCTTGCACAGTATCAAATTGGATCCTGGTCTTACTTTGCAATTTATTGAGCTTGCTGCTGATGTCTTCCATCAGGTGGATATAGAATTTTATATCACATATGGTTGCTGCATGTTGAAATCCCAGTTGCATGACTTTGTCTTTCTTTTGGATGATATACAATCATGTAATAGCTCTACAGGACACTACAATGAGGCCTTCATCAATGAGTACAATGTAGTTCAAAATATGTATATTTGTAAGATGTCAGCAAACTTGTCTTTTAGTTGCAGGTGAGCTGATCTCAGTTGTCAGCAAGCTGCTCTAAGTTGGGTATTTCTAGTGAACATTAAATTATTTTTGCTCAGAAAATGGTGGGTTTGGAAAAAGTTAGGCTCTCAGCCCTGAGGTTTGGGAGAGAAACATTTCCTTCTTGCTTCTTGCTTCAGTACTTACTGTGAGTCTGTGTTAACATTATACAATGTGATTTTTGATTATTAGGTGTTCTGGGGGAAAACAAGTTATCATAGTGTGAATCATGTACAGGATGTTTCATCTGAACCAGGTTTGGCTTATTCAATCTGATTATAAAACTGATATATTTTTTTTTAAAGGTAAACAAAGATTCAGAATCTTGCAATATATATTTATCATGTCCTACATGGTATAAACATTTTTTTTTTGGTGTGTGTGTCCAGCTTAGGCTAAATGTCAGTAATAGGAAAGATTGATGGCAAATTGATACTAACAGTGCTTTTACATAATATGTTTATGTAGAGGCATAACCCAGTTCTTTCACTAAAGTTGCTTTGCTACAATGTAATTTGCTTGCTTTGTTTACCTTTTTTACCCCCTCTCCCCAATTTTTTGGCAAGCATTCATTCCACACACTTGCTTATTGGTGATGTGTTGACAGCTGCCTGGAGATTGGCTCTAGCTTGGTTGCTATGGTCACCCCCTGGCTGCTGATTGGATTGATACCCTCCTCTGTTGCCCATTTCGTAACACCTACCTTCCGGTGCTTTTCGCGAAGTGTTCTAATTTATTTCGATCACTAGTTACAGTACAGTACTTTGACTTGTTTGAGCTTCAGACATCTAAGTCTAAACTGTGCATGTTATTTAGTGATCAAAGTTGAGGTGATATATTCCTGTATCTGCCTCATTCTACCTTCTGTCTGGTTTAAGGAGCAAAACGGCAGAAAATTGAAGTTGGCTGGAATGTTGCAAGAGAAACTTTAGACAAGAGCTCTGAAAATTTGGTTTTGCTTTCATGGTAAGTTCTCTTGTAGGTAAGACCCAATCAAAGAATGTTAATTAAATCCAACACATGTCTGATGTATAACATTAGTAAAGAGTGCTTCCTGTACATGTATACACATACATTTAAATGTAACTGCTTGCCAAAAAAATCTCTAACTGTTATTGACAGTTATTCCAAGTAGCTATTAGTAACATGGTATGTTTTTTTTTCAGGTTACAGATCTTAGCTGTGTTATTTGCAAAACACCCCTCAGGTATCCCTGCTAATGAATTTCACCCTTTCCTTTCAACTTTACTTCAGTTGCAGACTAAGTATAAAAGGTAATTACAGCTTTTATTTTATACTGCTGGTTTTGTTGGTTAATAAATTAAGTTACCCTATTGCCATCTCTATCCTTTTAAGGGCTGTTTTGCTCGAGTATACTTTTGTCTCCTCCACTTCATATGAACATATTTTACATCATTTATTGTTGGGTTCATTCCCATCACCATATGGTAATGTTTCATCTTGTTTGTGCGATTAATTTTATATTTATAGTAAATATTACTCATTTATGTTTCAAGTGTGATTTATTTCAATGAGTGAAATAAATGTTACTTTACCTGAAGATGAAAATCTTGAATAAAGCCTTGCTCACTCCCAATTTGTGGCTTTGTAGCTCAGTTAGAAGTAGCACTCAACTGCTATCTAGGTGGCACGGTTTTAACCCTTTCACTCCCAAGATCTCATTAGTAATTCTCCTCAATGACTCCCATACAATTCCTATGATTTTAGAATTTGTTATTGCATCAACTAATAATCCCCTAATTGATATTTCTCTCTATTCTTATCACTTGTCTGCTTGAGATTGTATGGATATCGTGAGGAGAAATTTTGTCTTGGTCACTCATGGATGTTAAAGGGTTAAATCCCATTGAAACATGAATTTTTCCAGGCTTCTTTTCTGCAGTTGCTTGGATTGTAGCACACTTGTGAAAATCATTCCTTTACTTTATTTCAACATGAAGCAATGGTGGGAGATTTAACACCCCTTGGTCTGGAAAAATAGGACACAAGACAATGCTCTACTTTACAAATGAGACTTACTCAGATGCTATGTTTTCTGTAAGGTTTTTCTTGGATTTGTTTAGTTGTTGCTTAATATGGTATTTGGACACAGTTCTAATTCTTTAATGCTTTGTTTCATCACTCTCAGACAGGAGACCATCCTATCCATACTGCAATGTGTTAAGAGTCTTGTGCAGTGTTATTCACAGAGAAGATTGCAGTTGGACTGCAGGCTTGTTGAATCAATTCATCCAGTCCTGAAGAAGATATGGGCAACAACATTACGTGTTGTTGGAATCAAGCAGCTTACTGATTCTGGGTTTTCTCTACTTACTATTTTGCTTAAGGTATATTATTCTGTTAGTTTTGAAGATTAAAATCCCTTTTTACCCAGCAAAGGTATTAGACATATTGCCTTTTGGAGTGTTGAATATTTTATGATTTCTCATCAATTTTATCTTCAGGAATATGGTAATCCACCAGATCCAGAGATGTTTGGAGCCATATTAGGAAGTGGTTCCCCATCAAGGTAGAAATGTAGAGAGGTGTTTTAAATATGTATTCAAGGTGCTCAAAAAATTAACTTTAAAATGTCCAAGACCATCCCCAGATACTGTCAAATGGGATTACCCCAAAACTTAACTATGATAATAGCGATTGCCACATCCTCTATTTCAAACTTCAATCCATAAGACAACATGTGTGAAATTGGTTGACCACAAAGAGGGAAAGTTGGATTTGAAGTGCTTTGAATAAAGTTGCTAGTTGTCTTGGAAAACTGTTTCCAGCCACCTTCAATAGTAACAATGGTTACTTGGTACAATTTAAATGTTAAGGAATTCATCAGTGGATACAGCACATCACTGCATTAAGCTTTCAAGTGCATTTCTTGTTTATTATTACAGATGAAAAAAGTAGAACTTGTAAAAGGTGTTAGCACCATTTGTTAGATAGGGTTTACTAAACATGAAACTATGTAATGTTAGACTTTGTGAAGATGCATTCTCTAGCCAATATCTCAAGTATCAAGGGAGTTCACATCTCTAATCAATAGTTTTTTTGCACTGTCATGTGCTATAGGTACAACATCTCTCTTTACTAACTGCCAATGAAACATTGACTGTTTGTTTTGGTTTTGCACAGATCATCTCTGGAATTCCTGGCCACCTATTTGCAGCTGTATTCTTTGCCAGAAAATTACCAACCTCCTTCACCACTAGGACTTCCTGATCCAAATCAAGGCACATATCACTTACGTCGTCATCTTTTCAACTGGCTATTACCTGTTTATGAGGACGGTGATAGTTATAATGAAGTCTTGACTTTATTGTCTGGTAAATCAGCTAGCAGGTACTTAGAACCATTTTGATTAACGAGTTCCCCTTATCAATATGTACCATTGTGGTGACTCCAATAAATATAATATATATTACTGGTAATAGTTTGTAGGTCTAGTCTATATCTCCAAAAGTAAATATCCTTTGAGGGAAAAAAAGGCCTTTTTTTAGAGCTATGGTTATTCCCTCACATCAAAGCTAAGGTGACTCTGCAAAAAGGGAAATCTATTTCAATCAATGATTCAGATGAAAATGTGGAGAAGGAAGAATTACCCAATGTATTTTCTATGATTAAGAACTAAGCTTCATGCCCAAATTGATGATATTAACCCTTAACCCCGAAGAGTGACTAACATCTAATTTCTCATTACACTATTACCCACAAGTCACACATCAAGGTCATGAGAAAAAGGAAATGATCACCAAGCAAAGAAGCTCACGATAGTTCAACAAATTCTCCATAATGTTCTCCTTAGGAAATGTAAGGAGAACATTATAGAGAATATGCATATTTAGGGTATAAAGGGTTAACATAATTGTAATATTATGTTGTCAAATTCTACATTTTAAGAATTGTGTATGACAGAAATTCAACCAATTTGTGATCAATCAATCAAGACATACTCTTTCCTGCACTCTTCAATTTTCCTCTTCTTTTATTTTGGGCTGGTCTATCATTTCAATCTTGTATTTTTGCCTGTTTTGTACAAAAGACTTCCAGATATTCAGATGGCAGCTGGTGTTGTGGTATCCTTGACTCAAAAATTCTCCACTGCTATAGAGATTACTAGGCTGGTACCATCTGTGTAAGTAAGAATTTGTAGATTTTCAATTATGTTAAACTTTCTTTTTAAAGGGAACTAAGGAAAAATTTTAGCCAGAGCTCTTGTGCAAGGAAGTGTCCAGTTGGCAATGACAGGTGTTTTTAACATTTGTCTGAACAAAAATTTTGTTTTTTATGTAATCTTTCTCTTATAATGTGGTGTGTTTTACAAAATATGAAAATGATGTACCGGGCAACCAGTTACTGAAAAATTCTCAGTGTTGCACTAATGGATGGGGGGTTGATGTGTAAAGATGTGCCATAAAGTTGTGCTTAAGTTCTCTGTTTGTGAGTATGTACAGCAGTGTGTAACCACTGCATATAGTCAGCAAGTATGCTTTAAAGTCATGTAAGACTAGTTTGTTGAATTTTTACTGTGATGAGAAGGTCCATTTTGGATATTCAACAAACAAAAGCACAGCTGTTACATGTTTGAATAATCTGTCAACAGTTTTGCAAGTTTTATCTTCAATAACACAAGGGATTAAGTATATAATACTTATGGAAATGTTCTTACCAGTTGAGGAGAGGTATCAAGACTAAATGGAACAGTGTTGCAACTTCCTGAAAACTCATGTTCATCATTGACTGAAGTTGAAACTGTGTGTCATTCAATGTTTCATTTCACTCAGGGATCAGTCACATGATTCACGCAGTCAAGATACAGAGGGAATGCTCACACAGATGCAAGAGGTCTATTTGCAATCCACATTTGATGAGGTAATAACAAAATATCATTTCAGTTCACATGAGGTATTAGAAGTTGTAAGGAATCTTTTAATTGCATCATCATCAGTTTGATTGCATCATCATCAGTTTGATTGCATCATCATCAATAATTGAGCTGTCAAAATCTGATTAATGCAGACCCATGGTTAGCTGAATTACAGTAGCATAAAACAACTCAGCGTTTTTTGTGTCCCCAGGTAATGTAATACCAGTCCCTTGCAGGGTAAGCCTCACCCCCCTCCCACCCTACCCCACTAGCATTTTATTAGGTTTACCGGACAATTTGGATGGATAGAAGAATGCATATTTATTTCATTCACCAGGTTCAGATATTATCTTAACAGCTTGATAGTGGGCCATAAAATTCCTAAGGCCCATTGATGTCATAGAAGGCCCTTGCATTTGGCTCCAAGTGGATCATTGCCTTTCTGCATCTTTTTCACCTTAGTCAAGCTAAGGAAAATGCGATCATCCTTTTAATGTACGTCTCGACAAACAGGCTGTAAACTTCCTTTCACTCAGACCCCTGCCCTTCCTTTCATTCATGTTTTTATCTGTACATTTCTCAAAAGGGAAATCGATATTGGCACAGAGACATTGTGGAAAAGAAATTAGCAAGACAACCCAAGTACAAGAGAAAAGTCGATTCTCTCTGCACACTATTGTGCGATCGCCTCGCCAACACAGCTTCTTTCCTTAGTAAAACACTAGAATTTAAGGTATGAGAATATTGTTTTTCTTTCAGATGAACTGGACATTGAATAATGAATTATGAGGTTGTAACCTTATGATGTAAAGTGCGAGCATTTGAATGTTGTTTTGAGACTCAGATATTTTGCATGTTAAAGTTACAAAGGTTTTTATCCACAATGTATCTATGTTTTGGTCTTAAAACGTTAAAAAGTTTGTCAAAGTCATTTGATAATTTTTGAATTTTTTTTTTAACGTTGTCTATATATGACTCAAGTCTTCAGGGGGTATGTACAAAGACCGGTTGATGTCATTTGGTGGAAAAGTCGAAGTAGTCATCAGGTTCTGCAGTTTTGTATCCCAAGTGATGGTTTTTTCGTTGAAGAGCAACTCCTTGAGCCAAGATGAAGTTAGAAGTCTGCCTGTGATGAGAGAATTTGGGGTGAGTATAAGAATGTTATTTTGCTGTGGAGAGCAGTGGACTGCATTTTCTATTGCCAGTCATTTGGTATCTTTCCTGATTATTTAGCAAGAACATTAAATACCTGTCAGATATGAGATGATAAAAGGGGTTAATTTCTGAAGAAACTGTGGTGCTCCGTCGGTGGGAGAGTGTAACAGGGTAATTTCGAATTATCAACTGAGTTGATTTTAAAGAGTTTAAACGCTCACGTTTCGAACGTTAGCCCGTCGTCAGAGCGATAGACGAAGGGCTAACGTTGGAAATGTCAGATATGAGATGATAGTAAGCCAACAAGGTGCACAACGTCGGTTTTCCAAAGAATAGTTCATATTCAACAAACAAGAGTGAAAGGAAAAACGGCCAAATATCATCAATAAAACAACAAGATGGGAAAAAGGCCTACAAATTCTGGTAACAAGGGCTATAATAATTAGCTATTCGTGAATTCTTCCCCTTCCCACTCCTGTAACAAATTAAATGAACCATTTAATGTGACTGAGGGTGCATTTTTGTAATATCCAGCACCTAAAAGAGAAGTGGCGTGCCGAAACCTATTGTGTCAGTTAAGGTTAAAACTTGATGTTCCATAAACTTTTCAAACATTGCTGCCCAAGGTTACAATAGACTTTGTGGTCACAGAAAGAGGACAGTCAAATTTTTCTATTCCTTCAGTCGCAACCATACCATACCCATAAGACTGTCTGGTATGAAAATTAATTTTACAAACTTTGTTATTGTAATTTTACAGACTTTGTTGAGGAAGGTTGCCCACGGTGTCAGGGCAATTTTAGGATTCAATGAGGTGGATTTGATAGCTAGAATGGAAGTCTGCGAGAGTGTAGTCTCTGAAATAGAAAAGATGTTCACCACTTTACAGGTAATTAAGCGTAATATCTCTTTATTCCTTTACAACGTCTTTGCGATCTCTGTCATTCAGTGGTCCATTTACGCCAAAATTGCGATCACGGCCACATAGTGTACATTGATTTATTTGCATAAGTGCCAATGCCTTGTAGATGTGCGTCTCTTTGTGCTTGCAGGCAGATGATAACTCCCCCGAAAAATTTGTTGGAATCGTGTTACGAGAGAAGACGCCTGAATCGCTTCTAAGGGAACTACTAGCTATTTATAGTGGAGAGGTAAAATAGTTGAACTTTTTTTTATGAGAGAGTTGCAGTAAATATAGAGCGTTTGTTACAACTAGGTAAACTTGACGACTGTTCAGAACGATAGAAAAAAGGCATTGAAGGAATAGCCAAGGATATATCCACTGCTAACAATTGTTTGTTAGTTAAATCATATGTTATGGAAAGAATAAAGGGGTGAGTTTCTAAAGAAACTTGAGTGCTGCGTCAGTGAGGGGTATAACAAGATAATCTTGGTTTTATCAACTGAGTTGATAATGTAAATTGGCCAGTGTAAAGAGTTTGAAAGCTGACGTTTCGAGTTGATAAAACCAAAATTATATGGAAAGAATAGATCGATAGCCAATCTATTGAGGTGATACTATTCAGTTTTGTTTTGAGGTCACCGTGATGTCACCAACTTTTTTTGGATCTTTCTTAAGATTTTTACAAGTTTGAAAAATCGTTTATCTTTACTTTGCAATCTAAGGGCCTGATTTCATGGGCCGGCTGGCTCGGTTTTCCGAGATCTCGGCACTTTTGTTTGTCCCATTATTTTTTCTTGGTTTGCCGCAGCAAAAATCAACTTCGCGATTACATGACAACCGAGCCAGCCCGGTTAGCTGGGATCCTAGCATCGGTATTGATAAAGAATTATCCAGTGGATAGCGTTAACCGCCCCTTGGACAACGGGCCAGAAGTACTGCTATTTACCTTCTCTCGATTTCAAAACATCATCCAATAAGGAGATGGTGAAAATGGGGAACATTATTAATTAGGGGGTGTTACTGTGATTAGTGATAAAATTTAACACTGTTAGAAGGGAGAATTAAGAATACTTTCTTAGCCCTTTGACTCCCAAGATCTAATCAGTAATTCTCCTTCCTATCTGCCATACAATTCTTATGATGTTAGTTCAGAGAATTTGGTATTGGATCAACTAATAATCCCATAATTGATATTCTTCTCTATTCTCATCGCCTGCCTGCTTGATATTGTATTGATATTGTAAGGAGAAATTCTGTCTTGGTCACTTTTGGGAGTGGAAGGGTTAATTGATACGTCAAGGGTTAACTGATACTTTTTTACCACCTATTTCCTTAGTGGGGATATTCTGTGCTGGATAATTGTTCTCGACTGGATGTCACAGCGAAGAGTTTCGTTAACCAAAGCTTAAGTGTGACTTCACTCGAAGAGGTAGATGGTCTTGATGATTTTGAGTCTGAAGTTTCTTCCAGTGAAGAGAACAAAGCAACACAGAAAACTCATAGTCAGCCGCAGAAGAAAAGTGTCAAATCTGGTTAGTGTTCGGTCATCTTTCTGGTCAGTAAGCTTTCCTTATCATTTCTGTAGTGTTCTGGTTCTGTATATTGATCATGGTGTCACCCTTGAAACATTTTCACAGTGCATTCAACATTGCGAAACTGCTGTGCAAAGTTGTTGTGTTGCTGGTCCTTGCATGGGTTTGACGTGTTGGCTGAATGCTCTGCTGACACTCTCATGAAAGATGTTAAAGAAAAGGTTGTGGAATTCTTGGGTTCAGAGGTAAAAGTCTCAATTTTCTTAAAAACTTAAATCACCTTGTTACGATTTTTTTATCTCTAGATTTTATTCTCACATGTGAGATTTCACCTGATTTGACTTTATTTGAAATACCGATGCTGTATGTAGATGGGCCTTGTTGAAAGCTTCGTCGTTACAGTTGTGCATTTGGTTTTAAATCTAAATTGCAGACAATAAAGAGAACGAATCATTCTGGACCAAGCCAATAACGTGATGTTCTACTCACACGTTGCTGTGTTTTAATTGGGTACATTTTTGACAGAGTGCAGTTTGCGACTTCGATTCTATAAGAGTTCATAATGTATTTTCATTTTCTTCCTCTCAAATTAGGACTTAAATGTATCAGATGAAGGAGACCTTAAGCTGGTAAGTGTTCAGGTGTACCACAGTTAAACCTGCATGACGCAGCTCTCCTCATTACAAGTTGAAAATTCGTATAAATGTGAATATCTGAGCAACAACGTTCCTACTCCTCCCCTAAACCAACGCTAATACCAATTTGTTATCACTTGATTTTTGTTGGGTTAGGGGAGGGGTGCATTGATCCGAAATTTTCATAAAGGTTTCGAAACATCTTGCGCCACGCGTAGCTGACAACAATTTACTTGTGAATAGGGTTTGTACAGTTCTTGAATAACCTGGATAGTCGTGGGATTTTACAGTTTAAGGTGAAATTTGGAGCCCTGGAAAATCAATCTGAGTCCTTGGAAAGTCTTGGAAAAGTCCTTGAAATTTGTTTCTGAAATAGGGTACGAACCCCGGTGAACGAATTTACCCACCTGTCTTCTTTGTGCTCACCTATTACTTCTGAACGTTGCTTTGTTTTGTACAGTTTTTCAGTGTAGCTTTTGCCTTGGCATCCAGCAGCAGTCTCTTACCGGGTCCACATGTGAAAGTTCTCTTGGAAGTATTCAGGTATTTGTTCCGAAGTTCAGGTAAGGTGAGGGGACGAAAATTGATTTGTGGCCATGACTAGAATTTGAAGACGAATGATATACGTTTCTATGTCGATCACTCACAGTCAAATGTGTTTAGATAATTTTTCATTTGTGGAAGGCGGCTTCCATGATTTAAAACAGACGACTGTGAATGGGATTTAGCTATTTTAATCTAAGTCAAGCGCATGTACTCAGTAGAGAGCACGATGCTTTAATTTGATGCAAGTTAGTCATTTAAGTGAGAGGTGGTGTTCATTAGGATGTGGCTTCTTTGTTATAAACTTGATTTATTATCATACTCTTTTTTATTTCATACATGCTGAGATTTACACTGTGAGGTAGTATCGTTTGTGTCTCTGATTGTACGAACGATGTATTTTCACAGTCGTTTGCCTACAATCTTAAAAATTTCTCGGTCAGAAAGAAAACATCTCAGTACATATGAAATAAAAACATCACGCCATGGAAAGTGCTTGGACAATTTTTATTCACTTGTTGTGATGCATCAAAAAACTGACTCGTTCGCTGCGCTCATTCGTTCGTTCTTTTGATGCATCGCAACTCGAGAATAAAAACGTTCGTGCGCATTTTCCATGGAATAATCTCCATATCTCAAATTTCAGAAAAGCTATGTCCAAGTATAGAAAGGACCAGAATGTGTGCAGTCAGGGACTTAATCTGTTGAGGCAGCTTACTCGCCATCTAAGTAATGGAGAAATCTGTGACACAAGTTTACAGGATTCCAGGGGGATTTCAAAACACATTTTAAATGCGTTTTGGTAAGATGAGAAAAGATTCTGTTTGTATGTCAATGCATACATTTTCTTGTTCCAAAGGAAAAAAAATTTTACTTTATTTTTCAACGGGAAAAAGGTCGTAAAGAATTATAGTTATGCACCTTGTTTTCATCTTTTTAATTGTTCTGTAGGAACCTGAAGAATACGCAGTATTCACCGTTTGTGAGGTTTCAGCTTGCCAAGTGCATGGAAGCTTTTCTAAAGGTACTTTATTGAAATATTTTGCTTAAACAGTTGTATCTAACGCATCTTCAAATTTAATGTTTTGGAAAAGTAAATCATGACCACAATCGACCAATAATGATGAATCAAACGAGGTGGATGAAAACCAATATTTTCAGTGTATCGATAAACATGTTTATTTCCTAAAAGTTGCATTGAGATGATTTGAGCCACAAAGACAGGTGTGATAGTACTACAGAGTGCGGGACATCACATAAACCGTACAATTGAAACGCAACTAGATCCTTTTGATTCACCATTGACACGTGCCAGTGTGTTACGAGTCCCTTAAAAATTGTACCCGTGAGACAAAATTTGCTTACAGTGCTTCCTGTGGGCCATCAGTGATCGTAATCACAAGTCTTGTAAGGTAGTGTTCGCTTTGCTACAGACAGTGTTAAAGCAAATGGTTCACCAGGTAGAAGTGTAAATTAGATGGACCTCTATTCCCCTAGTTAACAAACTTTGTTTATGAACGAAATAAGAGATCATCACTGGTGTTCCAATTTTTTTTTGTTATGATGGGAGCAACCAAAAATTCATGGCCCGGTGTCCCTGTAGAGTTTGTGATTAAATTCCAAGCTTTCTTTAACAGGTAGATCCTGAAGAAAGTTGGTGTGGTTTAAAGCAAGGTAAGCGATGGTGGTATCATTTGGAAGAACGAGCTCAACAGATTGTCATGAGGATTTTCTTTTAAGCTTAAATTTTTGTTACTTCCCTTTTACAGCTGGACAGGATTCTTCATCTCTCTCGCTGTGCGAGGAATTCCCAAGGCTACTTGGTGACTCTAGCCATGCGCTGAGAATGCACATGGCGTCTGCGATCAGTGTGTTGTTTGTAAGACACGTTTCAGGAAATAGTGCTGTGCCTGCTCCTCGTGATCACCAGTACAAATGTTTTGATCATATTTCGCGGATACTGGTACGGTCACTAACTGAAACAGTGTTGGTAAGTGAGTGGCGATAGGCTGTGTGACTCTGTGAATGAATTTTAAGTACTCCGGCAAATGTTTGTCTTGACAGATTATGGACAAATAAGAGAAGATTTTACCGTTCCTATTCTGGCTTTTCGAAGGGTGGATACCCGTATTCACTGGGTTAAACCTTATCCGGTTGACAATGCAGTACGTTATGTTCACATCTATTTGCTGGCTAGCGCTTTATCCAATTGGCAGTGTTACCCACCCTTTGAAGAACAACTTGCGCACAAGTCCAGCACTCTTCTATCATGTTTATCTTTTGCACGCAAGAGCAAACGATCCATCATGCTAGCCGTGTTTTGTTGGACCCAACAAGCTCTCCATGACTGCTTAACTTTTGCTTCGACCTCAATCCAGGCCTTGCTGAACTCTTTAGTGCTTTGTTGGGTCACCTAACCCGATACACTGAAAAATTAATAGTAGCCTCACGGATTTTCTTTTGAATTCAATTTAGCCATCGCTCAGTGATGATGAGAGTGAAGATGAAGGAGTCAACAGGTCAAGCTCTATGTTGGCTTGCATAAGGCATATTGCTCTTGTAAGCCCGATCTGTGAGAAAAGAGCAGTTGCACTTCTCTTCCAAGCAGTTAAGGAACAGTATTTGGACGAGGATTTAGTAAAAAAGGTAGGACTATAATTAAAACGAGAGATGTAAGCTGGATGGCTGTGTTCACTGATTGGCTTGACAACAGTCTAAATGAGCTTGTATTCCATTCATACGGAATGGAACCTTATGTCACTGCAACCTTTTGATCATTCCTTTTGTTTGCGTATAACTGATGAGCCTCTTCCTTCAGTCACTCCCAACAGGAGCTGTTTCATTCTACTGACATACCAGGTCGTTACTCAGTTAGCGCTGGAACGTGTACGAGGTTTTCTCCTTAACCCCTCCCCTAAATAAAATCCCTGTAAGGCTATGGACAGGCATTAGAGCACATTTTGTCTTGGATTCTGTTACGTTGGCCTTTCTTGTTGTGTATCTTTGTGGTGAGACAAACACCAACTCTGATAGCCTACGTTGCTGGCGGTCTGCAGTTTTGGGGGCGGAGAGGAAAACCTCAGACCGCCAGCAACGCAGTCTATAACTCTGATTACCGAATGATTCGTCGTAAGAATTGATAGCGTTAGCTATACGGGCGCCTTGTCCCCTTTACCCGCTGACTAAGTGTTTAGAAAACTTGTAGCCTGTTTGCAGAATGAAATTGTTGTCGTTTTGGAAGTCAAAAGATTATGTATTCTTATGTTTAAAACGTCCTTTTGACAGACTTATTGCATTTACTGTTTTATGTCGACCAGGTCCTTACTCAGTTAGCGCTGGAGTTGGGTTACTCTACAAGAGCTGCCTACTTAGAGAGTCATCTGAAATTCATCATAGATAAATGGCTAAATAATGGCTTCAAGATCACTGATTTCCCTTGCCAGATGATGGACTACGCGACAATTGCAGATTTTTTCCAGTACGTCTTATTAACTTCTCAGTCATTACAACTCAGAGCGGTTTTCACTACTTTCACCGACACGTGGATGAATTATTGTTTTGGTATATACCACACAGAAATAAAAGAAAATGGTTTAATTCCGTCAATGTACCAAAAAAAGGTCGGAAATTAAATTGTTGACACGTGATTTGTCTCTTCGGCTGCTCGAAGGTGAATGGTACTTGTTAATCACCTCTAACCCAGCCAATCAGCGCGCAGGAAAAGTATGATTCACCTGTGTGGTATATACTAATTACGGTGATCATGTGTAGGAAATCTTTTTCAATTGTATAAAATTTATTATCATTTCTAACCCAAGGTACCAGCATCCGGCCATTCTCGCTAATCTCATCTCGAGACCTGATACTGTTCATCAGTCCATTCCGCTGTTTGCAAATCAAGTCAACCCAAGCGGTGATTGCAGTGATTACATCACACAGAGCTTCTGCGACATTACCTCATTCCTGTTGCCATGGTTTGCTGCACAAAGCAGAACAGACCCATCTGACTTTAGGGACTCCAACGGAAAACAGGTTGCTCAGGCAACAAAAAGCCACGCTTTCCTCATCAGCATTCTTACTCAAGACGTGAGTACAGTTTATAGCTTTTATGAAATCTAATTTTTAGAATCAGTATTATTCTATGGACTCCTGATAGATTCGTGTTGAAAGTCAAATTGTTTTTGTCGTTTGTGCTGCTGTTGTTGTTGTTGTTGTTTTTTTTATGTTGAGCAAATATTAACGATGAAGATGATAGATCGACGATAACACAATAAATACAAACTGTCTTTCCAAGGGGTTTGACAAGATTTTGGCGAAGAAGTTTGACGAACAGATAGTGGGCCTTTTGTTGAGGATGTATGACCCAACTTCAGAGGGCTCAGATATATCCCAGTTTTCAAGGTAAGTAATCAAAGTCAAATAAATTGGGTTATTTTCATGCTTTTTTATGGTTTTCTTTCACCACTGCCGTCCCTCACACTGGGTCATATGTGTAGTGACTGTTTTCATTTAATCAACCGTTACAATTTCCGAAAAACAACGAATACATTTAGGACAAACAGCTCCGGTAGAGACAATGTGTAAAGTATAAAATTCCTATGTTCTAGAAATTTCCCAGTTCTTTTTCATGGTAAGTGGTTATTGTGATCAATTCTGTGATTGGTGGATTTAGCTAAGTGGACTCCGTATAATTGGCTGCTTCAACTGTCCGGCTACAGGTGTCCGATTACAACTTTTCAGAATGATTAGTGAAAAATAAAGTAGCAAATGCACCAATCACATTTGAGGAAATTGTAACAGGACTTTGTGTCGCCCAATTTGGTCTGTAATCATACTAGTGATTAACAAATCGGGCCCCCGCTCCGCGGTCGTCCGATTTTGTTAATCATTCGTATGATTACAGACCAAATTGGACTCTACTCAGTCCTATTACCATTTTAAATTAAATAAGGTATGTCTTTTCCCTAAAAGATATATAAACATTACTGAACTTGTCGATAACAGGGACACTGACCCAGAACCTGATCCTCCTCACTTCACGTCACATGCCATCAAGGCCACGTTTGACTTTCTAACACGTTGTCACTCTGGAGGAAAGTCATTGGTGTCTGTGCTTTGTAACAGCAAGGTATGTGATAACCGTACTACCTGAGTTATTGTAAGTGCTTTGAAGTGTGCTGGTGTTGTTGACCGATTTCATGGTTTTGGGGAGATATTGAATGAGTTTCTATGTAAGATTGACGCAAGAGGGAAATGATTTAAATTCAATAGTTTTGCTTATTGAAGTTTACTATGGAATTGAGACGCAGTATTTTCTAAACCTCCTCAGACAGGTCAATTTTGTTATGTTTGAACGTTAATAAGAGTTGTTCTTTTTTATTTTTCCTTTTTTATTTTTTCAAGTGTGATGTTATGTTCTCATTTTGGTCACAGCGTCGTACTTTCCTGCAAGGAAGATTACTTCTAAATTGACTTTGAATAGCTACAGTATTATTCTTTCAACAGGATAGTATCCAAAAGATTCTCTTGTCCCTGACCTCTCGGATTGCTGGAACTCACATTATTCACGAAAAGAGAAGGGTTCTGTCCATGTACAGACTTTTTGTTCTCCTCCTTTTAAAAGATCTTCCTGAAGGTTTGGGAAACACATGGGCATTCTTCATCCGTGACGTGATATACTCCCTCCTACGAATTATCAGTGACGAAACACAAGTAAGAACACGTTCGAAACGACGAAAACTTTGTCTCGTGGTGGATGAAGACTTGTTTTCGCCATGCTGCAATCTGATGTACCATGTTTCCAAAGCTGCCGTAGATTGTTGTAGCCAGGTAAGACAAAGGGCCTAAAAAGGGTATTTCAAATAGCCCAGCACTCTTAAGTTGCAACCGTCTTGGTCGCCATGGCGGGTAAAAAATATAATTTCGACTAAAATTTCGGCGAAAGTCGCCAAATGGCGACGAACAAATTTGAAGGAAAAAAAAGTCAAAAAAATCTATATTTGTTTGGTCGAATTATCAAACTTGCAAACGCCGGTAATGCAACACGAAGTGTCCTTTTATTGATATGACAATTTTTTTTTTCGGCGACCAAATTATTCTCTATGGCGACCATTTTACAGCTGAAGGTCGTCAAAGGGCGACTTTTTGAAAGGGAACTTGGAGCCCTGAAGTCACTTTACTCATTAACGGTAACTACACCTCTAGCGCATTTTTCTTTGAGTTTCGAAAGTAATCTAGGATTTCTCTGATTTGTTTTTCTACGCTCTATTATTGGTCTAGAAAATTTGCACCACCCTCTTAATCATTGTGAGGCCATAAAGGGTCACTTCTCATAGCTTGATCTTCTCTTGTTTGGAGTTAGGAGTTTTTCACTCGGCTCCTTAATAGAAGACTAATCGGGCTCAGTTTGAGTGTCTTACTATTTTCAATACGTCCAACTGGCACAACAAATTCTCTTACTTGGTAGAAAACCTCGTCATTTTTCCTATTATTTTGTCTAGTTATTCCTTATGGCATTCCCTTCTTTAGAAAGGTATGAGAATTTCGAAGATTCGTCTTTCTCTTTGTGATATAGCCTGAGTTTTTTGTTTACCTTGCAAAGGAATTTAAAAGCCATCTTCATGTCATAACAAGTACGTTGACTCCTTATGCCTTGGGCGATGATGAAAGAGCCGAAAAGGTATCTAATGTTTCTATTTAAATAGATAATAGTTATTTATTGTAACTTTTAAAAATTTCGTGTCCGTAATTACAGTTCAGCTCAATTTCCCGGGCCTACTTCTGCTCACTTCTGTTTCTCTTTTAATCGCTGGTTCATATTTTAAAAATATTCTTTCTTTTGCTGGTCACTAAACATCATTTTCCGCTTCTATGCATTATCTCATGTCGCCAGACATCAAATCACCGTTATTAGATATCATTAATGTCGTTAGACATCTTTGCCCCTTGATAGACGTCAATAGCCTTCCCAAGACATCGTTTATCGACACAACGTATCAGTTAGGGTCACTGAACATTATTTACTGTCTCTAGAAAAAAGAATTGTTAAAAGACAAACCATACTTCCTGTTACTGAGTGCATGGACAACATTCACAGTCACTCCGAACATTGTTCGTTAAAAACATTCCTCTTTGGATTAAAGGGAAGTGTTATTAAGTATACTACATTCGTTCTTTCATTTACAGGCCTTGGAATTACTTAATTTCTTGCTAGTGGACTCTAGAAAGAAGTTAGAAGAGGCAATAGCCGATCTCGACCCATTTCCGGATACAGTAAAGTTTCAAAGAATCAACCAAAGCTATCAGCAAATACGAAAAAGCCGAACATCTTTGAGTGAGGTAGGGAAGGATCATCGGGTTCTTATTATGATTATGGCATAACTGCTTCCGCTGAGAAAGGGCATTCCTTATCAGTATTTTAATTTGCGAGGACAAGATATGATAGTTCCAACCTCTTTACAAATGTGTTGATGATATAGCCATCTTTTATCTCAGTTCACAGGCTGATAAAGAAAGACCAGTAGCGGACCCAGAGGGAGGGTCAGGGGGATCCATAACCTCCCCACCCTCCCTCTTCATCATACCTGTAAATTTTGAAACGGCGGGATCGTATATCACTTACAAACTGGCTGATTTTTTTTTGATAATGACATTTGACTTGAAGACGGTTGTGGAAAGAGTAAGAGGCATTAGTAATCCGAGAAGGAACAAGGGTGATGGAGAATGAAACAGTGAAATGTTCTCTAACAAAATACAACCCGATAGTCGAGCTAAATTTGCACACTAATCCTTGTATGTTATCTTTGCATTTTTGACAGGAAATTGCCCACTTTTTGCTGGCTGATCCAAGTTCATCACCAGTGAGCAGACTGGAAGGACTCCGGCTACTAAGGAATTCTATCGTTAAAAACAAAAACCAACTTGTGGAGCTTATGAACAGGACAGAAGGTAACAGTGTTGTTACTCTAGTATTCCAAGTTCATTTGGAGGCTGCCGGCGTCAATTTGTCTGTGGTCGCCGTGTTCAGAGGGTGGTCAATGCTTCTTACCCGAGGAGTAAGGTTACAGTTAACATTTTTTGAAGGGGGTTAGGGGTGAGCAGAAATGGTGCCGAGTTAAAAGCACTCCGCTCCCTCTGATGTGGGCCTAGTTTTTATTGGTTGGAGTCCTTGTTCCAGGGTTTTTATGCATTTTCTCTAAGGTATGAAATCCTACAAAAAAAATTTTTCTTTTTCGTATGACTTCCACTATAAGTTATTTTCTTTGTCCAGATGCTTGTGGAGAGTCAACCGCTAGCCCTGTTGCTGACCTCGTTCGTGGGCTCATCAGTTTGGGCTCTGCACTGACAACCTGTGATGAAGATCAGGCCAAAGTTGTACTATGCGAAGTAGCAAATTGTTTGGGTGACATTGGAGCTGTGGAACTCTCTACTGTTTCGTTGGGGTCCAAAACTAGAACAGGTAATGCTGGCAGTTTTCATACAGTGCACTAATTGTAAAAAGATATACATTGGTGAAACAGGAAGACGGCTAGGTGACCGATTCCGAGAACACCTTCGCGACATAGAAAGGAATGGCGAGGACGCATCCAAAACAGTTGCCAGACATTTTAATCTCCCTAATAATTCTAAGAAGCACATGGCAGTCTGCGTCCTCTCCTTACAGCTAGACTTGAATAAAAATTTACCCTTTAAATAGGAACTCTTAGTCTCCACGGTATCAAGGAATGCTTTTTACTCAACTAATTTATTCTCGTTTTCTCGTCATCATCTTCCCACCAATAGCGTAGCTCAATTTTCCGCATATAGACACACACAACCCAGAATTCCTCCATTCGCTCTGACGAAGGGCTTACGCTCGAAACGTAAGCTTTGAAACTCTTTACGGCGGCCAATTAACAATATCAACTCAGTTGATGAAACCAAAATTATCTTGTTATACTCCCCCACCGACGCAGCACTAAAGTTTCATCAGAAACTTACTCCTCGAACCCAGCTAGAGCTCGAACCCAGGCCTCTTGGTGCATAGTCCAATGTGTTAACCATTAGCGAACCGCTTCTTTTTAACTCTTTCTTTAGGCTGCACTTTGATTTATTCTTAAAATAAATGGTCTGAAAATGTGTGCATTTGAATGATGGTAATGTTTTTCCTTTCTTTCAGATTCATTTTCGTCTGTGGTTAGCAAATGTGGAGATTCTGTGAATCAGAGAAATGCTGCTATAGTCATACTCTTAAACTCATACCTCATCGACAAAAAGTAAGTGATACATAATATAAACTACAGTTATTACTTACCAACAACACCAACAAAGACAGTTTGTTTTCAGTACTCTTCCTCGCCAAAATATGGTAGTACATACTTAAGCTGACAAATGAAATTGGAGTACTCTCTCTCTCTCCTAGTGGGGCCAGCTGTCTTCTTTCTACTTCAGGTTGAGTGTTTTCGGTTTTTTTATGGAGTATGTTCAAGATCAGGCTAAAAGTACAGTCATCCTTATGACCTACGACAATTTTTCCTGTCTTGTTCGTCATATTGCGCTTAGTTCTGATTAAAAGATCCTCTTTTCAAATGTGAATGATTTTCTTTCTTACACTCTTTGACCTTAAACCAGAACGAATTAGAATGAAAAAAGGAAATAATTTCGAACTTACAAAACAATACCTACTTTGCATACCAACTCTCGTTCTTGGAACAAGTTGTGCCCATTCGCCTCAGAATTCTAATGACCGTTTGTCATTAACCCTTAAAGTGAATAGCAGCTCGCTATCGTAAATTATCTTGAAGGGTTGGCGTCGTCACAGCTGCCGCTTCGTGTTTAAAGAAAATCCTTTCCACATCCTCTGGTGCCGATCTCTTGAAGTCTTTCGAGGAGTCTAAGCAACAACAGCTTTTGTGGTACCTGGAGCCATTCAAACCATCTAAGAAAAAAAGAGCAAGTATTTTCTTATTTCTTTTTCTTTCTTTTTTTTTGTATATATATATATATACACAACTAAATCTTTTTTCCAGTAGTTGCTTTAATTGTTAATAGATGGCAGTTTTTTTAATATTGCTGTGCTCGCGTATCACGTTTTCAGCAGTTAATAAGAAATTCCATAGAATCTCTTGGTTGATGAAAAAAATGGGTAGCTTGTTTACGTTTAGTTTCAACGTGGAATCGAGTTGTACTTTCAGAGATTAAGAACCTCGAACGGATTACGTCAAGAATTTAAGTTTTGCCATCTGTCTTTTACTCGTTTGTATTGCATTGCTAAGAAATAATAAGAGGTGAATTCTTCTTGTTGAAGCGCGCAGTGAAGTTGGTTTTAAATTTGTACAATATTGCTTCTTGCAGTCTTCAGCCATGGACATAAGTTGTGAAATATCTAATAGCAGTCTTGAAGCTACAGAGTTATGGACACCCGGAAGTGAAGTCCGGGAGTACAGCCATGAACAGTGGCTGACAAGACTGGCCTGTACCTTGATCAAAAGTGGATTTGTCAAAGATGAAGTTCTTATTGTGTTATCCCCCATTTGCGACGTAAAGGTAATTTGGTTGGCATGTTCATTTTAGGCGTGTGGTCTGATAGTTATAATTTTGAATGGGCTCCCCTTAGGAGACATTTGGTTTGGTTTTCACACGGAGCCAAACTGCCCGTAGCGCGCGAAAATGCGATTAAAACAAAGTAAAATCAAGGTAATCCCTGATAACTTTCGAAATTCAAATAAGAGGACAATCAGGAAGCAACTATTTCGTAAGGGAACAGACTTAATGAGCTTTGTGATCCACCAAAAAACAAACAGGCGAAAGCGCGTTGAAGCTTGACAACTTTCCCTTATGCATCGTAAAACTTTTAGATACAAAAGGGAATAAACCTTACAGCTTCAAACTTTTCGAGGACATTGGTCGCATTTAGCAAATGTATCCCGCAAGAGATTTACACCTGTAATTTGATGATATCTTAGACATTTTGGCTGGCTCTAGTTATTTCCACTGCTAATGGATCCTTTATTTACCTGCGCTTATTTATTGACAGGTAGAGTTTGCTGAACACGTTTTTCCCTACTTGATACACAACATACTGGAATGTGGAGATGATGCCATCAGGACGATGTTGTCGGAACAGTTCAGAAACTTCTTCACCTTTTGTAATGGAACAAGTGTTGTCCCAAGCAGACCCAACTCTCCGTTACCTCCGAATCAGCCATCCTCAAGCAAAAGCGAAGGTGAGATAAACGTTCTTGTTAGTGAATAGATTGTATTTCGAAATGAAAATCATGTAGTAAAGTTTTGTGGTGTTTATATTTCCGATGTGGATCGGAAAGTTTCAACAGCATATCAGCCAATCATAGCTGAGAATGGTTCATTTGGTGACACGGACTCAGTCTCCTTTATTAGCCAAGGAAGACTCGAAGTATGTTGTCGAAACGTCGCAATCCCTATTGGAAGACACTACAACGTGAGGCAAACGATTATATCCCACGACAGGAGTATATATTGCAATGAATGACCGCAATATGTCTGTTGTAATAAATCGCGTCGGTGCATTTTTTCTTTGTTTTTATTGTGATGCTTCTCCATCTTCTTATTTCAACGAAACGTATCTCACGCACATCTTATACAAGTCTGCATAGCTTCCGTGAGATATATCAGTTTTGTTTCCATAACGTGAAGCAACGTGGAATATCGCTAATCCTTCTAAACAGGACAATGGTCAATCGCAAGTAACCTCCAGCAATTCATCATCTCTCTCTTTCATTGTCCTGGTACTCATTGGTACTCCTTGGAATACTTCTCTCTTCACTTCTTTTACAATTCTTCTCTGAAGTGTGAGAGATACGGGTTTGAATCCCGTCGAAGCTAAATTTTTTTTCCAGGCTTCTTTTCTGAAGTTTCTTGAGTTGCCGCTCCCCTGCGAGGGTCCTCTCTTCACTTGAATGTCATTTGTATGACAACCTAGATTTATTTACTTGAAAAAAAAATTCCTTACACTTCTCTGTGTAGAGGAAAGTGAGGTGCCAGAGAACAGAACGCAATGGCCTCGGGCAGCGCTGAACCTGGATGTTTTGTTCCGGAGTCTAGTGCTCTAATCGTCAAGTTACCGCCAGTGTCTCACACAATCTCATTCAATTTATCCATATCGTTGTCGTTCCTACGTACACGAAATGCGACGCCCAGCTTCCACGTCCCTTCAGTGATTTCTCAGTCTTTAGAAGCCCTTCGCTCCAATATGGAAAACAAGAACCAACCTTCTTGTTCCATCCTGTGCTTTGTGCTCAACACCTTCCTACCATTACCCATCTGTTGAAGTTCGTGATCAGCTGACTTCCAAGTGGTTCGTTTTTTTTAACTATTGATTATCTGAATTTTGTACTTTATAGTTAAGAAAGAGAGTATTCGCACAATGCTGGCCGTTGTTACGTATCTTCGAACCCAGAACTTGCCAAAAAAGGGACGAGGCCAAAGCACTTTATGGGACAATAACTTCTGGCTGGACTTAGATTACTTGGAAGTTGCCTCAGCAGCTCAGAGGTGTTCTGCATATTTTACGGCCCTTCTTTACACTGAAATATGGGCTGATATTCAAAAGTAAGTAACCGATTTTAATGTACAAAATATAATGACATTACAAAATAGGTGTTCAAGTTACGATTGTGCTGTCGTTGTCACTCGATCAAATTTGACTTTCGCGTGAAAAAGTGATTGTGTTACATCATAATATCCCTCAGTTAGTACGTGTGCCATGATTGGTCAATAAAGCGGTCGTATTTCACTGTACGGCCCGCTTAATTACAAAGTTTTTTTAATTGGAATCTTCCTCTCTGTCTGATCCCAGAGAGCGTAACATAAGGATTTACGCCATTATGGTTCATAGGGAATTAGAACTAACAAAGAACTTGCTGGCACAAAGAGTCTTGTTAGCAAACTCTTTGACCATAATGCCGTCAAAAATTTCTTTGCTAATTACTGATGGATATATCAAATTGATTTGATTTGCAGATCAAAGCCCGACTCTTTGGTGTCTATTTCTTTACCAACCAACAGTCAAAATCTGGAGATGGAAACTTCTACAAGTCAGAGCAGCGATGAAAGCATAAGCAACAGCTACCAGACCCTAATTCTTGAGGCGTATGCGGCTATTGATGAACCGGACAGCATGTATGGCGTTGGGGCTGGGAGACTGGCTGATATTGACTCCCGTGTCAGGACATACATGCATGAGCACGCCTGGGAAAAGGCCCTTGGTAGGAAGAACATGATACGTTAATTGTGTTGTGTGGTGTAAATGCTCAACGGCAAAAGCAAAAAATAAAAAAAGAACAATGAAAAATTTTAAAATTTAGGATAATTTTTTCCGAGATACTCAAATCCTGACTGTCGTTTTTACAGACCTGACTTTTAATCTAATCAGGAGTCTTTCAAATTGGGTTCTCGGTTAAACATTCCTGTATCTATTTTTTCCTCTGTTTCCTTTTTAAAGGTGCTTGCGACCTTCGAATGCAGAACATCCCCGACTTGTCACAGGCTGGGTTATTACAAGTTAGTGCTAAAATGGCTTCATTGGATGACATGTTTCTGCAGTTAACATTTATTTTCTCAGAAATTTGTAGCCACTATTCAATAATTTTTGTTTTCCATTTAACAGTCGATGAAGAACTTTGGTCTTGACCATGTTATGAGAATTTATTTGAAAGGTCTGTCAGTGGAAAATCCACAAACGACACCTGAGGTATGAATAATTTTTCGCACAGTTGACCTGTAACAGTTTGGGGGGTGATTATTAATGTACTCCAAATTGCCTTGAAGTTTCTTAGGGTATCAAAGGATGGCCATAGCAATTTTCGCTTGAGGATGTATGTGTTGCCTTTTTTTTAGTCTCTTCTTTTCTCCTTCTTCCTCCTCTTCATTCGTATTCTCCCTCAACTCCTCGACCTCCATAAATCCTTTTTTTTAGTCTCTTCTTTTCTCCTTCTTCCTCCTCTTCATTCGTATTCTCCCTCTACTCCTCGACCTCCATAAATCCTTTTCCTTCTGTTATTATTATATTTCTGCTTACCACATCTTTCATTTCAACCTCTACAATTTATTAAGAGTATCATTTTTTTCTTGGAATTATGAGCACTTCTGTGGATTCACAAGCTTATTCGTTCACCTGTGCGCTATTCTTCCCTCAGGTTACGGAGTTGCAGTTTGAGTCTGCTTGGCAGAACTGCTCATGGGATTTGGACACAAGCTCAAGGTATGTTATTTTTTAATTACTGGATCAAATGTCCTTTTCTTACCTGCCGTAAACTTTGCCAAAATACACACGAAGTGTGGACAGGGAAAGGAAAAGGAGCTAAGGGTGTGGGAGGAAATAAAATGGTTCCTCCTTTTACACTTCACTACAGACATCCCTGAACAAACCTTGATGTCAACTGTCCACTTTTCACCTGGTTTTCCTCTCCCTCTTTCCCTTTCAATTTTCCAATTCACGTCGGTGACTCAGCTGGTATTACTGCAACGAGTTGTGGAAAAAAAAATTTTGTTTTCTTAGTGTTGGCTCGGACACTCCTCAAGGATTTCATCAGTCCTTATACAGTTGCTTGTGTGCCTTACAAGATGAAGAATGGGAACTATTCCAGTGCACCCTGGACAATACAAAGTAATTATTTATTAAGATAAATGTAGCACCTTACGTTAGCGAAATAGGCATGTTTATCGTGCTGTTCTCGTTTTTGTTTCACTTTCATTTTACTACGATTTCCCTGCGTTACGCTTTCCCGAGCCCGCAACTGCATTGTCGCAATGCACAATGTCGCGTAGGAATGATTTAGGAAAGCCTGGTTTCTTTATATAACTTAGCTCACCATCAAGTTGTCTGTAACTCAGTTGCTGAGTATCGGACTGCAAAATCAGAAGGTCTGGGCTCTATAACCTCATTCGCAGGGGTTCTTTGAGATTCTAGGTAACATTCCGCTGTTGGGGGAGCGTTGCGTGACATCCTAAAGAAAAAGATAATTTGGTTTTATCAACTGAGTTGATAGTGTAAATTGGCCACTGTAAAGAGTTGAAAAGCTTACGTTTCAAGCGCTAGCCTTTCGTCAGAGCGAAGGGCTAACGCGTGCCGACGAAGGGCTAACGCTCGAAACGTTAGCTTTGAAACTTTTTACAGTGGCCAATTTACATTATCAACTTAGTTGATAAAACCAAAATTGTCTTTTTATACTCCCCCATCGACGCAGCGTTACAGCTTCTTTAGAAATAACGCCCCTTTATTCATCCTGAAGGATAGCTGCGCAAGGGACTAGAGGTCCTATTTCTCTGTGGAAACTTTTTCCCATGAATAAAACTTTGATTTCGTTCGCTATAGTGGAGAAGGGTCTTTAAGCCAGTTATCAAGCCAAGGAAGGATCAAATCATTTCCATGTATTTCTAGGGTACGTCTCATGGATGATATCGCGCATGTCAGTCTAGAGAGCGTGCGCAGTGTGTACCCCTCACTGACACGGTTGCAGTGCATTGTCGAACTGGAGAATTTTGGAAACATGATGAACAGGTTTGTCAGCTTTAGAGCCGGTTACCTTTGAGTTTCCTTAAAACACAAACCAAAGTGATCACAGCAACAAATTAGAATAAAGGTTGACATCATCATTAACCAGTGAGAACCCAAAGTAAAAACAGGCCGGCTGCTTGAAGCGCGGGAAAATGTGAGTGACGAAGTCGTGATTGGTTTTAGTTTTGCATCTTATTGTTTAACACATTTCAAGATTCAATTTCCGCAGTCCATGTCATTCCTATCACAAAAATCAAATCAGGCAACTGTGGCATGAATGTGGGACAAACCTGATACGACTTCGTTTAAACAGAAGTTGAAGTTTTCTCTTGTTGATTTCAGCACGGAAGACAACATGGTTGATATCTGGAATGAGCGATTTCCACTCCCGGACAATGATTTTGAGTTCTTAGAGCCTTTGCTTGCTCTCCGAACCACAATGCTCCATACTGTTGTCAAACTAAGATATGGCAAAAGAAATGATGCAGGCGGCCTGATGCGCCTGGGTCGGTCATACAAGGATCTCGCCACACACTTAGAAATGCAAGCAAGACTCGCTCGACGGTCCCACAATCCACAGGTACTATATAATACCTAGTGGAATTTTATGGAGCATTTTAGCGTAATTAGGCTGACTGGACGATCTTAGCTAAGCGGCAGACCCTGTGATATGAAAGTGGGCAAGGTTATTTGGGGTGTACACAGCCGACTAACATAATCTTCTTCATTCTCGTCGCTGCACTTTTTAGTTTTGATAATTAGGCTAAGTTAGAATAATTATAGTAGAATGACCATCCAATGAAACCTGTGTCCAGCGGAAAACCGGTGGACTCTCGCAAATACCGTTTCAGTACAGATTGAACAAATTGGGCAACAACATTTAGTTTTTAAACACCAAATTGGTCAGAGTTGTGCCAAAAATCTCACAACTTACATTTTCCTTGTGTATCGCTGCAGGTGGCCGAGAAGGCTTTGTTCCGAATTCGACAGTTGCAAAGTGACATCACAGACTTACAAAGTCGACTTGGAGCGGAGGACCTTGGTGTTGCATGGTCATGGAAAATGGAAGAAGCGAAATTACGTTGGGCGAGAGGAGAACAAGACACAGCTATGTATCTGTTGAAATCTCTTACGAGGCACCTAGAAAAGGTACGAATTCTAATCAGGACTCGAATTGACTGTTGTGTAAGAGTTCAGTGGACGATTTAAAATACAATTTAATTTAACTAAGGAAACCTAACGTTTATGCCCTGTTAGGTTCAATTTTTTAAACACACGGAAAATTGGATGTCGTCTGTACTTCTGGTACTTTTTCAAAATATTTGATTTGAGCAAGACAAAGTATGGTGGGCTTGAGATTCAAGAACGGTTTCTTTTTTGTGATTTGTTCTTGGACAAAGGTTTCAGCTGTATTGACGGTGAAAGTACATTCAATGCTTAATTTATTGTATAAGGAATATGAAAACACGGATGTTGAGCCCTTTTCGCTGCCATTTTTAAATAGGACAGGGATAGTAGTCGCTTGTTTACACACCAAAAATGATTCGAAGAATCTGTTTTTGTCCTCTTCTCATATTTTAGGCTAAAGACCAGAGCTCGGAGGCATGCAGTCTGTATCCACAAACACTTGGACTCTATGGTACCTGGCTGGCGGAGTCAAAATCCGAGAATCCAAGCACCATCATAGAAAATTACCTAGAAAAGGTCAGTGGTGTTCATTAGAATGAGAGCGTTTTGATCTAGGAGTAGAGAACGTTCCGCCATAATTGGTCGCCTTGATTGGTTGAAAATCGAACTTTGTGAACTTTTCTTATGCCTGTTCTTGAAGCCTCCTGAGAGATGTGAGGTAAAATTCCATGTCGCGCATAAGAGGCCGTGGCGGATAACAGTTGCAGCCATACCACTTTACCTTTACAGTGGTTCTCACAACCCAGAAGAGTATGAATGGATCCGGTGAATTGTTAAGCAAACCTGGCGAATGCGAACATGAGGAACCCCCTTCCCCACCGATGTAATTTTTTTTTGGTAATGATGTTCTTGACCCTCGTGTCGTCCCTTTTCAGGCCGCTAGTCTTATGGAATGTACGATAGGGGGAAATCAAGCTTCTAGGATCGAGGTTTGTGTCAAATTATCTTCTTTACTATGGATATTAGCTCGTTAACCGCTAAGAATGACTAGCACCTAATTTCTCCTTTCAATATCACCTCTGAATGACACATTTTAAAAGTTCTCGAGAATAAAGGATGTGATCACCAACCAAAGAAGCTCTTGATTGTTAAACAAATTCTCCTTGTCAGCACCTTATGAAATTAATAGAAAACAGTATGGAGAATATGCATACTTATCTTAGGTCTGTTAAGGTTTGTTATTCAAACTTTGTCTTAACGACCACGAGGCGTTTGTACATGACAAAGAAAAGCGGAACAATTTTGAAGTTCGTCAGGTCTTCGCGAGTTTACGTCTAGTCTGAGACCGAATTAGAACCGACGGGATAGAAAACTGGATTGGATGATACTGCAAGAAAGCCGAAATATCCTGAAAACAAACAATAGTCGAATGAAAACGCAGGATAGGATGGAATGAACTGTAAGCAAAATTGATTCAAAAACTGTCCTTAGAAACCGAAAGTGGGACTGATTGCAAGTAATCCATATGAGACTGAATTAATTGAAAGAAGTGCATTTTCAAATAGGCGTTGACTCAGTCAAATATTGATTTTCATAATATCTGATTCACTGTCTGCCAGTTTATGAATTGCTGCCCCTCAGTAGTTGTTTTCAAGACTCTTGAAAACTCTTGTCAGTGTGTTAATGCCATTAATTTGTGAACCTGTATTTCCTGGTATTTCTTTGCAGGCCTTCTTATCGCTCGCATGGTTTGCTGATTCACAATATCAAAAGAAAGTAGATTTTATGAGTTCGAGTGTTTACGAAGACAAAGAAGCGCTGATGAAGAAGTCAAAGGTTAGAAAAAAAAGACTAATAAATACATAAGAAATTTTGCCTAAAAGTCGCCCGCTTAGGGTGAAAGTCAGTGTCAGGGTAATCCTGGATAGGTCTGTGGTCCTGCAGTGGCCTAAAAGTGGTCAAACCCAATCAATTTACCAAAACAAAAATTAATTCCTCAAAACAAAACAAAAATCCCCAAAACAAAATTCAATTTACTGAAACGCAAAAAATTTCACAAAACAAGAACCACTTTCTTACAACAGAAACTGTTCGTAAGTGCCATGAATATCATAGAGTCTGTATTTTCCACTCCAACATGGTTTTGCTTGGTGTTTTGGTCACGCACTGTGGTGTGTAGTTTTCGGCGGAAATGAGTGACGTGTAGACAACGATATGAAAAGCAGACATTGTCAGCGACAAATTTTTGGGAACAAAGCTCATCCATAGCATCCAAGTCACCATAACATCACTCGATCGACTATTATTTCTTGGGTCGCAAGGGACAGTTTCCTATTAATGGTTAAGCGTTCTGGAGGTTGAACCAGGGCAACTATGAATGATTGAATTCGTTTTCTGATGAGTGATTGAAGCCTATAACTGAAAAAAAGAGCAAAAAGGACATACATTTAGGCTCAATTGTTACCAGAATTCGAACGGTTAACTCATAGATAACTCAAAATTAATTTGAAGTCGCAACCTTGGAATGGGATATATCTCAAGTTTTACTGGCTTCAACAGTGGCTCCCTCAGGGCCTTACCTAACCGCAATTATCTTGCAATAAAAATATCCAGTTTTCCTGCCAAGGTGTTAATTAAAGCAAATGAATAAAGGGGGTAAGTTTCTAAAGAAATTGTGGTGCTGCGTCGGTGAGAGAGTATAACAGAGTGTTTCGTATTATCAACCTCGAGCGTTAGCCCTTCTTCTATCGCTCTGACGAAGGGCTAACGCTCGAAACGTCAGCTTTTAAACTCCTTACGGTGGCCAATTTACGTTATCAACTCAGTTGATAGTGCTAAATTACCCTCTTAATTAGAATGCATTTCATCTTTTGCTGAAAGGTGGAGTCGGAAAAGTTACAGCGTATGTGTGACTCTGGTAGAGACAGGTATACAAGAACACTGAACTTGCAGGCTCAGATGGATGAGAAGGAACTACAGCAGGTAGTTAGGGACAGGCACGTGTTCCTCCGGACGGCTGTGGAAAACTACATCAAAACATTACTAACGGGGGTAGGTTATAAACTGACTGAAGAGTCTCCTAACAGTTGTGTGTGAGGTTGTAATCCTTTCCTTCGCCTTTTGAACACCTGCAGCGTCTCAGAAAACAATCCAAGGAAAATGCAGGTTTAAGATCCAACCTCATGCATGCACCGAAGTTGTAGTATTTTTATTGTCCTATATTTTGATACTTTAATTTGATTTTTCTCCTGTTTTGTAGGACAAGTATGATATGAGAGTGTTTAGACTTTGTTCACTGTGGTTTGACAATGCAAAGGAAGAGTTCGTCTCCGAAATGATCAAGGTATGTCAACAAGCATAACACAACAAAAAAATTATTTTTATGCCATTCTATTCTGGCAAAAATTATAATCATGTAGTAACTTACACACAGTGGCCGGGTGGTTAGTGCGTCGGAGCAGTAAATCCTCTTTCCTGTGTTACATGCATTATTTGTTCTTTGGCGAGACACAAATGAAGAAATGGCTGTTGAAATATGGACCTGGGTATTTTTTTTGGACTAACCCCATCCTAGGGCTAGCAGTATCTCTAAGGGTCGGTCATTTACACGAGGTCTAACCCAAACCGCCGTTTTACGCGAGTAGTGGGCCTCAGGTATTCTCTCTAAGAGGGTTGATTTAATTAAATAAATATTATTTCCACTGTCAGCTTAGGCCCTCTTGACACTGTTCGCAAAAATACTTGTTCAAATAAAAGGTTCGGCTAAATTGAAGATAGTTAAGAACGCCGTTTGTCAAATAACGGCTAAACTTTGCTTAAAATACCTGCCCCCTAAGTGTCTATTAGATATTTTTTTGCCTGCATGCAAACGTTGGGTAATCAGTGTGAAGAATCCGTCCAATCAGAGTCGATTCGAATCACACTTTTGCACCTGATTGCCAGAAAGTAATGAGTTCATGCCTTTGATTCCCGTTTGAACAGGGATAATCTTTATTCTGTTTTAGAAAGAGCTGACAAAGATTCAGTCCCGCAAGTTTCTCCCTTTGATGTACCAATTGGCAGCCAGGCTTGGGACAAAATCACATGACAACCGATTGTTCCAGCGCACTCTTAACGAGGTATGTCTAGCTTTTGTACCTCGTTAACAGAATCCTCACTCAAACATGTCGCTAGTTGAAACGATTAAACGATGTTTTATTTTTTTTCCTCAGCTCATTGAGCGAGCGGCAGTGGATCACCCGCACCACACCCTGTTCATCTTGCTCGCGCTCGCAAACGCTGAGAAAGATGAGAAGTACATACATACAGGAAAGAGGAACGGTACCTCTAGGCTGGCCAGGAATCATTCTAAAGGAACGAAAGGCTTCACCGAAGTGAGTTATTTGCGTTCATTCTTTAGCATCTTGTGGAATGCTCTTGTCTTAGCACTTATAAACGGATGGTATAGACAAAAGATTTGTGATCCACACGAGGGAAAATACCCCATAGCTTTTGGTTGGCGTTAGTGTCTCAAATAAAACTCCTAATGATTGCTATTTGTGGGATGTTGTTTCAATGTTATTGTATTCACGGCTTCTTTTCCTCAGGCTCGTACTCAAACAGCTTGCACTTTGATAGAGAAGATTGGTAAACACAGAGGAGAACTTGTCAAAAATATGCAATTGTTGTGTGAAGCTTACATTGAACTGGCTTACGTGAATGTCATGCAGTTGAAGAATGAGAGAGGTACAATAAGACCCGCGGGTATTGAGCAGCCAATTGCTCTCTACATTATGTATTTGTTCCATGTGAAATTCAAATTGAATAACTATGACGGTAACTACTTATTTCTCTCAAGCCCCGCTCTATGGCAAATGTTTCCTCTTCATTTTAATCTTTTTTCCAAACCGCTAACTCCAACTAAGTATTAATCAAATCTCTGGAGGAAAACTAAAGCCGCAGGAAAGAACTGCCATCCAGTGGAGGTAAACCAAGCTGAAACTTTTTTTTTTGGCGTCCGATTCCAAAACATATGTATATTTAAGATGAAGAAGTTATAATGCAGAAATTCAAGAGAGTCACGGTTTACTTTAAGTGATTTCGTAGCATTGCCGGGCAGATCTTGTAACTTTTACTATTTTGTTTCATTGTTGCCTTTTAGGTCCCTTTAACCTGCCAGAAGTCACGATAAAAAGAATCGTAAACCTCAAAGAAGTTCCAGTTCCCACTATGGAAGTAAAAGTAGGAATAAAATTGTCAACTCTTGACGACTGTGATTTTTTATACTTCGTCATCATCATCATTACCATTGTCATCATCACTGTTATCGTCGTCCTCGTAACCGTCGCCATCAATGTCATCATCGTCATGACCTCGTGAAACTGAAGGATACGTTAACCCTTTAACACCTAAGAGTGACTAGCATCTAATTTCTCCCCACAGTATCACCCATAAATCAAACATTTAAGGTCATGAGAATAAAGGAAATGATCACCAACTTAACCCTTTAACTCCCAAGATCTTATTAGTAATTCTCCTTACTGTTTGCCATACAATTCTTATAATGTCAATCATGTGATTCTCATCACTTCTATCCTTGATATTATATTGATATTGTAAGGAGAAATTCTCTCTTAGTCACTCATGGGAGGTAAAAGGTTAAGAGACTCTTAATTGTTAAACAACTTCTCCTTGTCAGCGCCCTTAGAAATGTATATAGGACAGTATGGAGAATCTGCTTACTAATATTAGGGTGTTAAGGGTTATGGAAGATGTTTTCTTCGCTATGTCTCCTTTGCTTTCCAGGTGGATCCGTTGTGCCGTTATGATGACCTTGTTTATGTGGCTGGATTTGACTCTAAGTTCTGTCTGGCTGGAGGAGTCAATCTTCCCAAGATCATCTTTTGTGTTGGATCTGATGGAGTGAAGAGGAGGCAGCTGGTGAAGGTATGATGGGTAAGATTCTGGGTTGGTAGCATGTCAGCCAATCACAGCAAAAGGTTACAACACTTATATGTTTAACAAAAAACAAATTACAAGTAACAAGCGCGTAAAATACGTGGTAAGCTAGAAATTATGATATGCTTAACTTCGCTATCTGGTGGGATCTGTACGCAAAACAGAGCCGTAATACATTTTTTTCTTTTGTTTATCTTATGAAGTCACTCCGGCCTAAAGGTGCAAACTTGAGTTAAGGTGTATTGGAGCCACACTTAAGTTTTTTCTTTTGTTTTGTATTTTCGTTTTTGTTTTTTTGGAGTGTAGGGCAGAGATGACTTACGTCAAGATGCTGTCATGGAACAGGTGTTTGGTATGGTCAATCAACTACTGATAAAGAACTCTGAGACAAGGAAACGGAAATTGAAGATGAGAACCTATAAGGTAAGTCACTCAAGCTCCTCACCATTTCTTGGAATTGTGTGAACATTCCATATGTTCTGTTAAATATCTAGGGCCCAGTCATCTTTCCATTCGTTATGAGTACTGGTAAGAAGCGATTCAGAAAACGTCTTGACTCCCTCTCTGATTTCATTTTTGACAGCTGAATAGACCACCTTTTGTAGGACATTTTGATTAGTGATTTCCTATTCCGGTCAAGACTATCGCATGTTGAGCCTTGTTTGGCTGGCCCTAACTCTGGCAGTGCATAGCAAACAACCTCCGCTGCACAACATAGCGGTAGAAACACACCATTCAATTCTTTGTTTTTGAAAAACTTGCTCACCTCCTTCCAGTAGCACGTGTACCACATTATTTCTCTTCAATCATTTTTAAAATATTGCTTTTCTAAGGTCTCGTTCCCTCATCAGGTTATCCCACTATCGCAGCGCAGTGGAATAGTGGAATGGTGCGAGGACACAGTCCCCTTGGGAGAATATTTGATTGGGCGGCCTGGAACCAAGACTGGTGCTCACCCGCGGTACTATCCCGGGGACTGGACATCTCTTGAGTGTAGAAAAAAAGTCCAGGTAAAGCGGCAAACATAACCGATTGTCCATGTAGCTCAGACTAATTTTTAAACCGCAATAACAGGTAGGTTCATGCTTGTGATAAAATAAAGAAGGCAACTTTAATGCCTGTTATTGTCATTCTTTTAGGCTGGAGACAACAGTGGAAAATCACGAGATGAAGTTTACCAGGTAATCTCCATTTTTGCATTGACTATAGAAACAAAACCACCTCTTGACTTTTGACAGGAATGGTAAATTTATGATTTGGTGTAGAGTTGGAACGTTATTCCACACTTATAGAGACAGGGATTGCTCTAAACGTTTTCTTCGACAAATCTCCTTAAGCAAAGGAGACGAAACAATATGACTGTTTTTTCTTTAGAAATCCTATTGTTCAAAAACTGACCTTAGTTTAAGGACACTCTTCAAGTACTGGCGACATTTGCCTGCCAGTGTAGATGACTCAAACAGAACACTTGAAAAGGAGATTGTAAAGGGTATAAGATAAAACTCCACTGAAGGAATTTGTTTTTCTGACAAGACGAGAGGGACAGCATTTCTTTGCTAAAGTAAAGCTGAATAGGTGAAACTACGGCTACGCTAGAAAGCGGATAGAAATTGCGCTTGCGCAACCGCCTTCATATTTTAGCTCGGTCAGCTTTCAATCAGTTGTTATATCCCACAGGAACTGATGGATCATTTTCATCCAGTATTCCGTCACTTCTTTCTGGAGAGGTTCCCGGACCCCGCTGTTTGGTTTGAGAGGAGACTGAGCTACACTCGCGGAGTGGCTACGTCATCCATTGGTAAAATATATAACTTGCGCAGCACTTTGTAAACAGAGAAGCGCGTTTTCTTGGAATAGAAAAACACGTAACAAAAAATCTTAGGATTAATCCTTGGGTGGTGTATGGGCCTGTTGTGGTAATTTATATGACTTTGCCTTTAACCACGAAGAGATAGAGCGTTCTGATACGATGGAAACTATCAAAACCTTAACTTGTCCTATGGATGTTGAGAAGTCGAAGAAACGAAATAGTACCACTGTGGTGGTAACCTTTAAAGTAATATCATTCAACTGCCCACTGTCAGCCTTCATCAGAAGATCGAGTGGTTTTGAGGTACTTTCTCCCGAGCCATGTAATAATTTGACTTCCCCAAATGATCAATGTGTTAGTTCTCCCGAACTAAGGTGAAACGAAAGATTATTGTTTTTAGACACGACTTTGTCAGATTAAGATGAAGTACATCACCTCCCCATAGCTTAGCATATACACACAGCTACGTCCTTGAAATGTTCCTTCCTTTTTTTTCCCTCCAGTTGGTTACGTGGTCGGGCTAGGTGACCGTCACGTACAGAATATTCTCGTTGACTGCAACACAGCAGAACTCGTCCACATCGATCTTGGTAAGACAACAACTGTGTCATCTATGCTAACACCAGGAAACAACAAGTCTTCCCCCACCTACTCCTTGCCAAATCTACAACTATTCTAGATCCAGCCTCAAATTAGTAGAATAAATTAAAGAAAGTATGCGTGAAATTAAATTACGTACACACATATTGTTGTTTAAGAAAAACGTAACCTTTCTGGTGCACGTATCATTATTTTGACCGTAGACTAATTCTCTCCTTGCAGTGACAATTTTTTGTAATTATTAAAAGTTTACTGTGCGACTTTTTTTTATTGAGGTCACTTCCCCAAAACCGATCAATGTGATTACAAGACTGATCCAACAGTAAATTGCATTTGGATCTTAAGTGTCTTTGCTTTCTTTAGTCCTTAGCACATGTGGGCACAATTGAATTTAGTTGAGGTTATTGTTAGTTTTACACATCATAATTGGTTAATGTTATTAAAGTGATCCCGGTAGTGGCACTGAAAAACAGAGCAAACATAGCATATGGGAGTCAGATTTTTCAAAAAAAAGAGTTGCGTGTTTTCGCTATTTTCGTTCATATAAATGATTACGTTTCCAAGGGACTCTGGTTCACTGTAGCGCTTGCGCATTTCTTCAGAGTTTGTTTGCCTGGCGAAGTTTCTTTATTTTAGAATTAATTTGATTTATTGAAGCAGTTGTACTCATGATTTTTCGTCGTGGTTATCGTTTTCTCGCAGGTGTGGCCTTCGAGCAAGGCAAATTTCTCCCAACCCCAGAGACTGTACCGTTTCGCTTGACACGTGACATGGTGGATGGGATGGGACTGACAGGGGTGGAGGGAGTGTACCGTCGTTGTTGTGAAAAGACAATGGAAGTTATGAGAACGTCACAAGAGTCTCTTATGACAGTTGTAGAGGTGCGCTGTGCTAATAAGAGAAGTGTTTCATGTATACATTCCCATGTTTTAGATCAGAAAGAGGGTGAAAGTATTAAAAGGTCTTTCAGCGAGCAAAGACGACCTACTCCGGTTAGCGCTTGGCATTTGACACAAAAGAGCCTCTCCCTTCTCCTTGCTTGCACGCATGCGCGCCTGCACTTTTGTATTCTCTTTGAGAAGAGCAGAAAAAAGTCATCGGGGTTCAGTTATTCCCCTTACAATGACCTCAACCTGCAAGGTTGGGTCCTCGCTATTCTGTGGCGAATGGCAAATCGCCTCCCTGACCTGTTCTAACCAGCAAACTCAGTAATCAGACGTTAGAATATTTAGTGAACTTGGTTATCGAAAAAGATAGTGATTTGGGAGTTGTCTTTTAGCTGACAAATCCCGAAATTTGGCTATGATTGTCAAATAATTATCATTATTGTCATTGATGTCGTAGAATGGTAGTTACTTGATAATTTGACACTTACACAGCGTTTGAAATCGTCAATTTCTCTCTCGCCAGGTTTTGCTTTACGACCCGTTATCATCATGGACGCTCAGCCCTGAAAAGAGAAAAGCCCTTCAGCAAAAGGCAGAGGAAGACGACCAGTTCCCAGTCAGTGTCACTGGTGACTGCTTGGACGCAACAATAGGCATAGAGAACATCGCCGCCGAGGATAATGTGAACAAAATGGCAAAGAGAGTGCTGTTACGACTCAAGCAGAAACTGGATGGTGTCGAAGATGGGGTGCACTTGAGTGTATCAGGGCAAGTTAATCACCTGATAAGGGAAGCCATGGATCCTAAGAATTTATGTCGTCTGTTTCCGGGCTGGCAGCCGTGGGTTTAGGCGCTGGCGCTTCTTGTGGACCAAGAGATTTCTGAGCAACGTCGTAGTCCTCGAGTCGAATTTGCAACGAAGAATAGGTCTTAAAATACGACGAAACTTGAAAATAATTGTTTGTAAGGGAAGAAAATCACTAAAAAGGCGCGGGTTAATTGGCCAAATTTGTTTGACTCTTACAGAAACGTCTCAGGCCAACGGGAAAATTTAGACCCATCTCTCTTGATACATCAATTTGATATTGAGACTTAATCTGACGACGAATTACTTACCCTAGTGCACCATTCAGGTTTTTCTTGTACATGATAAGCTACACAGGAAAAATGCTAATATCCTGTTGGTCTATCATTCCGGGTTAAAATACGGTTGAGTATTTGAAGAATCATCATAGACCGATAGGGAAGCCTTCGGAGATGCAGATATGAGAGAGATCTTGGTATCTAGCGAAGTAAGCATGAAACATAGACACTTGTTAGAGAAAGAGACAACTATTTACACTGGTGAGCTATCTCTACGTCAAAGTTGATACGCGATGAGTTCCATCTGTCTTTTGTCTCACATAATTTTACAGTTAATTAACGGTCTACGAAGTTTACATGTTATGGTAAATTTGAACCATTGTGGACATTTTTTAACAGATGCGCACAGGTTGAACGCTGTTGTGATTAAAAATTTATACTAAATACTAGAAGCAAATGCTTCTGTTAAAGATTAATTTTTCATTTTATGCTTCTGCTAAAGATATATTGTTCATTACATATTTCCTCGTCAGTTTGCAGATTCATATTCTGCGCGCGAGCATATTCTCCTTTAATTATTCCAGAAAAACTTAGGAAAGACTCCTCCCTCTTCTGGAATTTCTTCGAAAGATAGACGAAGATTCTGCTCCTTATTAAAAGATTTAGTATTAAATTTAGTCTTTTTTCCAATTAAAGTATTCTACTTTTCTATCGTGTGCGTGAATGATTTGAATCAACTGGGGGGGGGGGGGATCAGAAGAACATAAAAAAGTAAATTTTTAAACCAGGTTAAGTGCGCTCACACAAGACTTTGCGTTTCTGCCCGCTTCCAAATGTGTCTATCACTCTCACTGGTTATAGGAGCACTTTTCACGGTATGTCAGTGGCTCCACAACAGTTTTCTTTTTCGAGGATCACACGAGAGCTTACTGTAACGGGGTCTGGAAAAAACCTGGTAGTTAACAAAAACAAAAAAAAAGAATTATTCTTTACGTAGAAGGGACTGTCTCATGTTCGTTTTGGAGAGGGAATGGGGAGGAAAACGTTAAAGAATTTGAATTCCATATTAGAGGCCATTACAAAAATTGACAAAGTATAATAATATTTCAAGCTTAGTCGGGAAATCTGGATCTTACCTTCCAACTCGCATCATCGCATATCGTTTAACGAGACGGGTCGATGACTATCTGTTCGTGGAAGGAATGAGGCTGACATGTTCCGATGAGATCACGAAGATGGTCCGATTGCCGGCCGACTGTAGGAAAGTCCATAGTGCCTTGCGAAAGTGATCGCTAATTGCAGAGGTGCAGTAACACTCAGCTGATCTCGCGTCGGCGAGCTGTGCATGTAACATCTTCCCTTGAGACTGCTTATATCTAATTTCTATTATTTGTCGCCGATGGTAATTTCGTAAAATTTGGCTTAGTATGGTGAGTACTATACTTTTTTTTCCTTGTGTGACACACCTCATGTATCTTCTCTCCATGTGATCTGGGTCCCTACTAAATCCCCGAGGTCGATCGCGGAAGATAAAGTTGAGTTAAAATTAAATGGGAACGTTCAGTGAAGAATAATGGAATGATACCTGGAGGTAGATCACGTTCGTCGGCACTTCACGTTTCGGTCGATCTTCATTGGGAAGTTAACTATTCTCTAATTCCACTTCGCATTTTGGGATGATGCAGCATGACTCAGACTTGCATTGCATCATTTTTAGTAATTAAGCTGTGCTGGAAGCCTATGTGACTTTGCTTGCCCTCCCATGCTTAACTTGATTAAATGTTATCGCATACAGACCAAAATGGGGATTTCTCATTAAATTTTGACGCGACTGAAAATTTTAGACGTTTATTTAAAAAAATGTAGGTGCTGAAAGACACCGCGTTGCATTGTAGTATGTCACGCAACGCTCGTTATAAGAGAAGAGAAATGTAACGGGGTAAGGGGTGGGGTGAGAGGGGCACTGACTCAACCCTTACACTCTGACATCACCATGCCATTCTCCAAATGCTTCTTAAGTTGGTGATCATTTCCTTTATTCTCCTGACCTTAACCCCTTAACTCCCAGATCAAATTTTTAATTCTCCTCACTGTCAACCATGCAATTCTTAGGATGGTAGTTCAGAGAATCTAGTATTGGATCAACTAATTATCCCCAATTTGATATTTTTCTTTATTCTCATCACTTATCTGGTTAATATTGGATTGATATTGTAAGGAGAAATTCTGTCTTGGTCACTCACAAGAGTTTAAGGGTTAAGGTATAACTCAACACTGAAAAATAGCTATTCAGAAGATAATTCTTTAGTTTTTTTGAGAACTCACTGACATGATTAATAGCAGAAATAAAAAGGAAGAGTAAATTGCAGGATGGTTGTTAAAAACTGTTGAAGCATGTAGAAAACTGTGCTAAGTAACTTTGAATAAGTAACTGAGCATTCAAGATTATTCAAATTAGACTGGAGGGAGCTTTGGGGTTTTGATTTGCCGTATTGGTCAATTTTCCTGGCAATATTTTGGTAATTTTTATTGTGAATTGATTGCGATATTGCAGTATTTTTCAAACCTGCTGGATGCAGTTTTTTAGCATTTTGAACAGTATTAAAAATCATCCCCCAGGTCCTTCACTTTTTTAAAAGCCTTTGCCAGTTTCTGATTGTTTTGGAAACAGGCTGTAATAGGAACTCATACAGTTTTTTTTTCTAAATTTAAAATTTACCTGTTTGTGACTTACTTTTCATCGACCAATCCTTAACTGTTATTTCTGTGTTTTTTGCTCTAAATGTAACTTACAGAGCAGTGGTTTTCATAGGACATCAAGTTCCATTCAGTATTGAAGTATTGCTGCATTTGCCCATTATTTTGCAATATTATGGTATTTCTAAATCTTTTTTGCTTTGCGGTTTTCAGAACCCCCCTTTCTCCCCCTCCTCCCCCTTCCCTGGCCAATGTTCCTCAGTGGATTTCACCAGTATTAATAATTGCAATGAACAATGTCTCTTTCCAGGCATCAGCAGCAGTGAAATTGAATAATGGAGCATTAATGCCCTCAATTGCTTTGGGGTAAGTTTACTTACAGATGGGATTTGTTTCTCAGTGCACTGAGTGCAACAAATAAGTTAAAGGAAAAATTACATGATTCAAATTATTTCATCAAAAAAATTGTTGAAAAAAATATGCAGGTATCTGAAATTTCACAACCATGTTACATACTCCTGTCTTGATTAACACATATATCAACCAAAAAGAGCATGCATAGGTTCTCAGACTTGTCTAACAGCTATAGAGAAATTTTTTTCTGTAATTTTGAAGTTTAAAAACCCTTTTGAAATAAGGAAAGGCACAAAACACAGTCACTTTTTGTTGATTTTATTTGAAGCCTTAATGGTTCCACAGAAAGTGTCCTTGTTGCATGCATACTTCCAGGTTCAGCCTGTTATAAACAGAATATGCTTAGCTTTAACTGTTTTTCGGTAACAGATGTAGGTAACTTTCTTGTGTCATTCTTCAGCTGGAATTTAATTTTGGCATGGCTTACTTGTTTCTTGCCCTGTAGCTCACCTATTTCAACTTGACTGGTCAGAAACTCCAGGTGTTGAGTTACCACTTAAATGTAAATTAAGTATGGTTTAAGCTTACAATCATGGAATCTAATAATTAAATTTATGAGATTAAAGCATGCATATTCATCATGCAGAAAATAAGGGCTTACTGAGGGTAATTTCTGCCAAATAAATATTGTCCAAGTATGATGGGGTTTGTCTGCTTAGTAGTAAGCTAACTCAACTTTGCTACTTTTGGTGATGAGCTGTAATGCTCTAACTACAAGCTTAACCCTTTAACTCCCAAGATCTGATTGTCAACTCTCCCCTCTAGCTGCTACTTATTTCCTTGTAAAGTAGTTATGAGAACTTGGTGCTACATCATGATAGCAGCTTCTACCTGATAAGTTTGAATATTCTCATTACCTGTTTGCTGAAGAATGTGTGGATACTGTAGGGAGAAGTTTTATGTTAATCACTTCTGGGAGTTAAAGGGTTAACAGGGTTTTGTAAGTTTTGAAGTTGGAGGGAAGCTATTAGAGACAAGGCAAGCAGGAAATACTGTTGATGTCTTTGTTTTCAATTTGAATGAAGTTGCCTTCCTGTAGGGTCTATTAGTTTTTGCAATGGGAGGGGCTCAAACTAGCACCTCTCTTGGTAATGGAGCATGGCAGGGTTTTCACTATTTTTTTTTTCGGATTTTGCAAATTATCTCTTTCTTATTGCAACAAATTAATATTGAGTATGTTAAATGTTAACTTAATGTAAGGTTTTTGTATGATTGGTTTTACTGGGTACTCCTACAGGACATGGAAATCCAAGAAAGGTGAAGTAGGACAGGCAGTCAGGCTTGCTTTGCAGTATGGGTACCGACATATTGATTGTGCACATGTTTATCAAAATGAAGACGAAATAGGGGAAAGTCTTACTGAGGTGTTTAAAGAAGGAAAAGTGAAACGTGAAGATATCTTCATTACATCAAAGCTCTGGTAAATAATAAGTTTTTAAACTTTCACTACTTGTTCATGTAATAATGTAGTTTGATCGTTGGGGTGAGTGTATTCCTGAGAAGGACTGTTGTCGGTAATTGTGACTGACGTTTTGACAACTTGGGCGGAAGTCATCATCAGAGTCAAGTGAAAGGTTGACTTGTGATAATGACTTCCGCTCAGGTTGGCGAAATGTCAGTCATTATTACTGACAACATTCCTTCTCAGGACTACACTCACCTGGACAATCAAACTGAACTATGACATGTTACCCCTGGGTTCAAACCATTTACTGTACTACTTGTTCAATGGGTGAATATCACTATCTGCTGGATAAATCTTTATCTGCTGGATAACAATTTATTGGTCGGGTAGAGTTATATGTTTATTTCTGATATGCACTGTAAGTAGCTGTAATGTTTGGCAAGGCATATGGTAATGTTGCATGAATTTGATGGTTTTGATTTTTGTCATGGATATTAGTTATCTTAGAGTGTTGTTTATGCTTCTTAAAGCTTTAACAAATAACCCAAGGGTAAGATTTCACTATTGTAGACATGGTGTGACTCAGTTCATTAGATTAAATGCTTGATTTAAAGGAATAACTTCCAGGAAATAGTATTATGACTTTTACTGGTTTGTACTGCGGTTTTATCTTGATTATTTTGTTTAAAAATTAGGTGCAATAGTCAGGCACCTGAGGATGTTTTACCAGCATGTGAGATAACGCTGAAAAATCTGCAGTTGAAGTATTTGGATTTGTATCTTGTAAGTATAAAACTTATCCAGACTATGCTTTCCCCCCTGTCATTTTTCTTGGTGAAGTTGTTTGAAAATCTTCATGTATAATGCTATGAGGGATTTTCCTTCTAAATGCTAATTTATACCAGACTCAGTAGAGATCTACATGTATCTATCTTTATTTATCTCAATATGAAATGCAAGTCTGGTCTCAAACTTGTAAGATTTTATTGAATCAATCCCTAACCCAGTGGAACAAGTTCTTGAGCATTTCTGAAGAGGCACCCCATTTAATATTCCAGTGTTAATTTCAACAATTTTTCAATAGATCCACATCCCCCTTGCTTTCAAAAAAGATGTCCCTTTTCCTCACTCCAAGGCAGAAGGGGTGATAGGTTACTCACCTGAAGGCATGGCTAAGACTTGGCAGGTAAGGCTACTCATAATAGTATAAGTGTGTTGGTATCATTACTAACAATGCTTTGATTTGACCAAGTTTGGCTGAACTGAAAATATAAACTATATGATCCCACCTACACTGTATAATAGGAGTGATATCCTTTATTTGTGAGTGCATGTGTGTGTGCAACATTGAGCTTTCTCTTACATCGTATGAGAAGGACACGTCTCTAGAAGATTCTCTTGTTAAAGCACAACTTTCTTCACTTTAATCAAACAACAGCATTATAGGATTTAAACACAGTAAGGATCTAAGTGACAATATTACAACAGCACAACTATCTGGTACCCTATGCTCCAGGCATTCTGATATTAAGCCTTTAACCCCCAGATCAAATTTGTAACTCTTGTTACTGTTAACCACACAATTCTTATAATGTTTGTTCAGAGAATTTAGTATTGGATCAACTAATCATCCCCAAATTGATATTTTTCTTTATTCTTATTGTTTATCTGGATGATATTTTATTGATATTGTGAGGAGAAATTATGTCTTGGTCACTCTTGGGAGTTAAAGGTTTAGCATTTAACCCCTAAGAGTAAGTAGCAACTAATTTCTCTGTCCAGTGTAACTGCTAAATCAAACAGCAAGGTCATAAGTATAAAACCAACTATGCATGGGAGCTCTGGACTGTTGATAAAATTCTCCTCATAAGTTCCAGAGGAAATGTATAAAGAACAGTATGGAGAACATGTATTCTGATGTCAGGGTGTAAAGGGTTACAGAGCACAGCCACTTTGGTCAGAACCAGTACTGTCAGTTCTCAGGACTGGTCCATTTTATATTCAGATGGTAGAGCCTTTATAACCTTTGAAGGAGGAGGTGTAAAAAGTTATAGCCTTGTGGAATTTGATGATAATAACATGCTTTGGCCAGTAATATAATGTAATAAATGTTTTCCTTTCTACCACTTAAAAGGCAATGGAGCAGCTGGTGGACAAAGGTCTCTGTAAAGCTATTGGCATCTCAAATTTTACAATTAAGAAGACACAAACTCTTTTGGAAACTGCCAGAATAGTTCCAGCTTGTAATCAAGGTATGCTGGTGTTTGATATTTTTTTTTTTATTAATTTGCCTGTTTTTTAAGATTAAATTACATTTATTTTCTCATTTGTATGATGGAGGTTTGACTGGGCAGTTTTTGTTCAAGGAAGAATTCATCCCTAATAACAGATATAACTTTCCCAATGCAAGGCAAATGAAATCTCTGTTTCGAATTAGTGTCATTCTGTCTCTAAGTTGTTATCTTCAATAAGTTCCCCCTCTACCCCCCTAAAAAGTAAATTGCAAGCTTGTTAATCATAGATGTGCATTTTTTCAAAGTTTGTGACTCTTCTGTCAGATGTGCAAAATTCAGTTTGTTCAGTTAATCACTATCATTGCAACTGTCTTAGTGTATGCTAATTTTCTAAATTTTTTTTTAAATATGTGTTGGGAATTCAAGAATACAATCTTTTGTACAAGATGGGTGGTGTCTGCCTTATTTTTTATGCATCTTATGTACTTTGCCCAAAATTTGATTTTTCTCTTCTGTGATTTGTCTAACAGTGGAATTACATCCATATTTACCTCAGCCACAACTATTGAAGTTTAGTGCTGACAAAGGTTAGTTAATAATTGAATGAATTAAGTCTATTTGATGACTTATGATTACCTTTTCTTGAACCTCAAAGACAGAAAAGCCTGATTTCCTGATCTCTAACCTCATTACAATTTAAACATAGTACACTGTTGGTATAGTGAAATATCTTGGAAAATTGATAAGCAGACAAACAAGAACATACATTCCTCCCCACATTCCATAAGCATGCAGGCACCACTGGGTACGTCCTTAAGGAAAAATCTGTGCCATAGAATCTCCATAGTTTTTGGGGAGATGCACTGATCATATGGTTTTGCTATGGGATTGTAATCAGAAAAGCATGAACTCGATCATTACTAGATGATATGGGAATTGTATGGAACTTTTAGAAATTCGTAGCATTCCCATATCAGATGCTGCAGTATCAATGAATGATATGGGAATTGTATGAGACTTCACAAAACATATGTAACATTCCCATATCAGATGCTAGTATGCGTGGATGATATGGGAATTATATGGAACTGTGCCAAATACATAGCATTCCCATACAAAAGGGTCAGGGATCATATGGTATTGGTATGGGGCTGATCCATATCATTCCCATACCAGATACTATGGGAAATCTATGGAACTGTGCCAAATACGTAGCAATCCCATAGTTAAATACAATAGAATCAAAACTGAATGAAGACAGTGGCATATATGGTTTTGATATGGAATCAATAGCCCATACTAAAGCCATATACTACCCATATATGGGCCATAGTTTATGCCATACCATTTCCATACTTGGACCGTATATGGCCCATATCACCAGGTTTGGTAAGGGAATAAGGGCATTAAAGTTTTTCAAAATTATCGTACATGTAAGTGTGAACAAATATGCGGCGTTCTTTCTGTGTTGTGCTGGCACTAGGCTCCTCAGTGATCACTTGGCTTTCAGGGATGATTGTTTGAGTGTATAAAATATTGGGCCTTAGTTAACAGTTATTCACCAAAGTTGAAGTGAATATTGTTGAGTTATCTCAAAGACGAAGTTGAAGGGATTTTTCAACAATATTTATCAAACCTGAGGTGAATAATTGGTTTAGTATAACTGCTTAGGTGCTTTTGAATTCTGTTGAAAACTTTTTTGTTGTTGAAACCATTCTGTTACAATTTTTTTTTATTACCTGTATTGAGAAAAGAAGCCAGTTTCTACTAGAATTTAACAGGTTTACTAAATTCAATCAGTGAAAACTTCATATCTTTCTTTGGAAAAGTATTTTGCCAAACTTAGTAGCATCTTTTGTGCTCTTCAAAATTGTTTTTTTTCTGTTGCTTTAGTCACTTCCTCAGTAAAAGGCGAGGCAGCCATTTTTAAATTTAGCCTTCCCCCCGCCACTATTCCCCTACTATAATCACCTCGCGTAAGGTGATTATAGCGTTATATGATGCAATCAATGACTAATCAGAGTGTGCGCATCTCAATAATCTCCAGAGCACAGATTGTCCTGAATTTAGCCTGCCACAAATTATAAATATTAATGCATCGTGTTCACTGTTTTGTATCATTTGTATACTACTGTTACAAATACTTAATAGATTGCTGTACAGTGAGTCTCCAATTCTTCCAGTTTCCCTCTGGATACTGATATGTTATTTGGTATGATTAGGAATAATTTTTATTGTTTGTGCATTTAGGCATTGTTGTGACGGCATACTCTCCTCTGGGCTCTCCTGATCGTCCTTTTGCCAACAAAGATTCTGAACCTGTGATACTGCAAAATCCTGTGTTGAAGAAAATCGCTGAAAAACATGGCACCACTTCTGCTTTGGTGAGTTTGCCTCTACTTCTGCTGTTCACAAATATAATCTATAGAACTTTACTTTGCGGTGGCTTATGGATAATTGGCCCAATTATTCAGTATCATAAACCTTAAACTCTTAAATGTGATTAAAATAGAACTTCTCCTTACACTTTTAATACACTTTCTACCAAATGCTTGGTTTTTGATTCTCTGAAAAAATTGATGAAGAAATTCATTTTATTAGATCGCTCTTGCCTTTTGAATATGTTTTATGTAAATATTATAACGTGAAGGGTTTTCTGAGATTTTCTAATCCAAATAAAAACAAGAGCTGGCATGAAGCAGAGCATTATAGTGTGGGGTGTATAGGTTTTTAAGCTTTTTTAAAGGGTTTTTTTTGTGTGTGGGGGGAGGGGAGGGGGGCTTTTTTGGGATTTTAAGACTTAAAAGTTCTTATCTTTATTTGTTTGGAATACAGATCGCTTTAGCCTGGGGTATCAAGCGTAACACTCCAGTCCTCCCAAAAGCCGTCTCTGAAAACCACATCAAAGAAAACCTTGAAGTACTTCATGTAAACTTAGACGAGGATGACATGAAAGCGATTGAGAATATTGGAATACGCCACCGTTATCTCATGCAGGCGTGGATGTTCAAGCCGGAGGAAGTTCCTGAGAATTACTGGGATGGCGAAGAATGATTGGCTACTGAACAACAACTAACGGATAGCTTCACGAGTGAAATTTATAGGACAGCGTGCAATTATTGTGGGAGTTTTTCAATTTTAGAGTAGCGATTAATTTTTGTGTTTTTTTCTCATTTATTGGAAGGAAAATCTTCGTTTTTGTCAATTGACTTCTCGCGCTTGAAAAAAATATATCTCGTACTTCAACCTTTCATCGTAGATATTGGTTAAGGGCACTAGATGTTATAAATGATTCAAACAACAGGTTTTTTTTTAAGAAACTAGTCTCTCGAATCGCCACGAGTTTACCAATGGACTGCCGGGCTGGCAGTAAGTTTGTAACATTCTTCTTTTTGACGAACAATTGGGTGTTTGTTATTTGCGTTCTAGAAAGTGAAAGGTAGATTATAAACACCTTGGATTTTATGAAGAGTAACCAAATATATATTAAATTAGGGTTATGATGCAGTTTACTTTTATGACTATCCTACAAAAACAAGACTTTGTCCATTAAATAACATGTTATACTTCTACATAATTTCCCGATTAAGTCAAGACAAGACACTTGTTTTACCTCATAGAAGAAGTAAAGAAGCTTTTCCTCGAAGCACACGATAGCTAATGCTTTACAAACTCACGAAAAGAACACACTTGTTACTCACGGTTTTCATTAACGTGAAACCTCCTCCCTTCACGTTGAAAACGACAGAGAGCAACCGGCGTCAAATATAGCGGGAGAAAATTGTTCACCTGGTCATCTTTGTGTTTCTCTTTTGCCGTGAAAGTCATGGTTAACCTCCCTCTTCGCTTGTTTGATCACTGAATTGTCCTTTTCGACGAAAACGAAACAAAATGCTTAAAAGTTAACTCAGTTGTAGGGCATATACGTCATGCGTCATTATGTGACTATGAAGTCATTGTAATTAGTGATTTGACGTCATCAACTTGATGAAGTCAAAAATTTAACGAAGCTATTATCAAACCAATCAAAACTATAACAGAATTCTCGGACATGATTGGTTATCATCAGTCCGATTTGAGCACTAACTGGACAGCGTAGACATGCCTGTGTAATTAGACAGTACGTGTCAAATGCGCGCACCGTTGTCGTGCATTTCACTGAGTTGTTTCTTATGAAAACGTATAACCGATGGTTGGTTTCTTTCTCAAATTTTGTCATAGTTTTGATTAATTGGTGCGTTAATTTTGAGGATTTTGTTTTGCTTCTTACTGACTTCGGTAACTTAAAAGACGAAGTTAATTTTATGACGTAGAGTAATGACCTTGTCTAAGTTTCTTAATGACATCGTTAAGCTCGAAGTAATTTGTTTGACGAGATAAACATATTCCTTGCGGATGATCTCTTCCGAATCTGGATACTTTGTCTACTTTTGTTTAATTTCGTTTTTGGACAGTTCCGCTACTTTTTTCACACTTTCTTCAAATTTTTGGACACCTGCGTTAGTTTCCAAACGATTTCGTCTGATTTTGGACACCTGCATCCGTTGTTGTCTCGGACTCAAGCTTCCCTTTTGGGTTGTTCCTCTCGTGTTTTTGACGAAGGGAAACTGGCAACGAACGAAAAATTAAAAATGACAGTACCCTAAGAGAGAGGAGAGAGCCTTGAGGGCATCGTCGATTTTACTTTGAGCCTAACTGCAAATTGTTTTCAAATGTTTATAAATAGCAAAATATCCCTTCAAACAATTTCTCTTCCTCCCTTCATTTTGAATGTCATCCTCCCTAAAAACCATCGTGGCAAATACAAAACCCTCAGAACTTTGAGTAATTAATATATGCAGGGAGCAAAGGGCGAGATGAACGTTGCCTCAAAAATTAATTATTCATTCATTTTTGTCTCACACCTTGAGAACCTGTGACATGCGGTCCATGGAGTTACAGTGTTTTGCTGCTTTGAACGGAAACTCGACGTACTCTGCTGCTTCCATCGCTTGTAACTGCGTCGAAAGGTATTTTGAAATGAGTGCTTCCTTACCTCAGACTCAGAGGCCCAAATTTGGAGATACTGTTGTGCTTTTGCAGGATACTAGTAGCTTTAAATGAGGTGAGAGAGAAATGCGTTTTACAGTGTCTAATCTACCTCCATGTTATTTGCTTAGCCGTTGCTTTTTATTCTTGTACTTTTACTTCTATAGTAAAGTTCATCTCAAATGCCGATTCTGAAAGTTTCCAGAGAGAGCTTCTACGTTGAGAATTTAACTCGTCTTAAAGTGGGGTTTGTCCTCTAGTTCACAGTCAAGCATTTTACGTAGCTTGTGCCTCTGTTCTTTAGGCTTATCGAGTTACCTTACACGAGTCAGTCTCTTTGTACCACTGGAGTGTTTTTTTTTACAGATTTTTGGTGAGAACGTCGACTATCTCTCTCTTTCAAGGATGAATTCAGCTTGTTACATTCATCTCGTATAGCGTGGTGATACACTAAAACTTATTCGTGTACGCGGATTATTAATTAGGCTCATTTATTTGCAATTTTTTCAGTTTTCAGTGGTGAGGGATTTCAGAGATGGAAGTTATGTATCAGACCGAGAGAGCCATGTTTAAAATACTTATAAGCGGCGTGGTCACCTTGCTTTTTATTGCTATTTTCTTAGAGAAGGAGGATTTTTTTCTCCATTCTGAATGATTTCTTTGTTTGGTTCGTGTTTGTTTCCTTTAGCACTGCGGTAATTTAATGACGGAAGAGGCAGGAATCACACAGACAGCGAACTTGTTGTTGAGAGTAAGTCACGGAATCATGTGAACTATAAAATCTAATTTGTACCTGAAAAGAATGAGGGACCGATGGTGTGAGCAAGAAAAAATGAAAACATGGAAAATACACCGCGAAATTCGTGAAAAGTGAGAAGTCGGCCCTATTACTAACCATAGGAACTACTCTCCTTGAGCAAAAAAAAAAAAGAGGAAAAAAAGGAAGGTGGAGTGGGTAACGAAATTTACTAATTAATGTCTTGGTGAGAATGAAAGTTAAGCACAACTTTTATGTATCTTTCCCTGTTAGTCCTTTCCCAAGGGACTATTCTTAACACGGACTGCCATTTCATGGGGTGCGACAACAAACTGATCATTGAGTACAATGTGTAGGAATCTGCAGAATCGCGAGAAGGAAGTGAAAACTTAGATTGAAAAAGAGGATTGGAAGGCTGGAATGAGGAATGCGCGGAGTGATTTAAAAGATCTTGGATAAACGCGAGTTCTTCAATGTTTTGTATTGCTGGTAGCTCAAGATAACTCATGACAATTTAACAGAAAGAGAGGTGCCAAAGTTTTCATTGTATGCCGCTATTGTTTGAACTATTCAACACTATTTCGTTGATCTGGCATTGTTATCTACAAGATAAATGTTACTAAATATTGAGGGTAGTTACAATTATTAAAACCTTGAAGAGCCCCCTTTACACCACTTCAAGCTAAAAAATGTACCTTCTGAACAAGAACAAGGATTTGTCGAGGGATTTTAGTGTGATGGTCGGGACGTGGGTAGTTTTGAAATGAACTGTTGACAATAACAATGACGTTTTGATAACTTGAGCGGCAATCTTCATCTGATTTAATAAATAAGCTGCAGTTAATTGATTGTTGTTAGCCTGGTTAGTTTTGCGGAAGATCTCAAACGAGACCACCAAGGATGCTTTAGAAAACACTGACCCATAGTTGACTTCTCGAATAATCCATCCAGTTGACGTCACATAAATCACCGGTGGTATAAGTTTACAACATATCAGACAGCTTATCTCACAAAAGAAAAAATTAAATGAAAAAAAAAGAAAAAATCGACTTTGTCCTTTTTTCTTTTCTCGTTTCTTATTTTTTCGATTATTTGTTTTGTGTCTTAAATAATCATCAAGTCATTAATTTCATTTGTAGAATGGATGGACGGAGATGAAAACTGTTATTGGATAAGAGGAATGGAAACTGAGAATGGGAAACCAACAGTGAGAAGTAAAGAACTCGGCTAAACGTGAGTTTTTCAATTTGATGTTTTGCTGGTAAATCAAAGAAATCCATTACAATGTAACTTGGAGAACGAGGCAAAAATCTTTAACGATTTTTAGCATGGATTCAAGCATTATATAATAATGAATTAATGGATAAACACATTAAGGTGTTGCGTTTGCCTTTTGCCCCTTCTTGCTAAGTTCCAGGAATATTGCAGATATTAGCAACAGTTTAAAGACTGCAAAATCAAAGCTATTATAAATTACGTTTTCTTTCGGTAGAAATATTTTCAAACAAATATAGTGCAGTGCCGAAGGAATTAAAAAATTGGTAAAAACTGGATAAAATGTTTTGAGTTGAGAGGGGATCTCTCTCAACCAAATAGGAAATAGTATTATAATAAAAACTGAAAAGTTAAGCTTAAAATCGCTCAGACGTTACTCGAAAGTTTGTGGTAGAACATAATTTCCATGTGAAATAACTCCATACACGAGGTAGATTGCTAACTTTCGTAAATATTTTCAATCTATCATTACATATAACTTAATACCGTTTTGAGTCAGATCGTTTTTATAACAAACCTAGACATGGACTGTCTGAGATTGTGCAGAGTGAATGTTTGGCTAAAGGTAGGTCTCTGTGTGGAAAACCGGTTTTTTTTTTAAATTGAAACTATATTCGCTGAGTCTCTATGGAACATCGAAGATAACCTAGGAACATGTTGAACTATAATTAGCTTTTTGGAGTTTATCTAGACAAATTGCAATTTCGTACGACATAATAATGTTGCTTGTAAACAAAGCCGAACCATTCGTTCAGAGTTAGACTTTCACATCGACCTAAACTAAAACGTATTTTTCAAAGCGTTACACTGAGAAATTTGATTTGCGAGTGTTTTCAATGTGTGTTTGTTCGAACGTTTCAGAGTTTTACTCGTTATTCATTCTGGAATATTTAAAATTTTGTTTTTGAAAAAAATTTTTTAAATTAATTCAGGAAAAAATTTTAGTTTTCGCTTTTCCTTTTTTCAGTGATTGTTTCAGGGTCTAATAGCAAAATCAAGAAATCCTCATAATACAAAACCATTTTAATATTATTACTAGTAGTATCATAGTTATTAAAGAAAATATTTCCCTTTCTTGGGAAAATATTTCTATTATAAAGACAGCCACAACGTTCCAAAAAAATTTCTAGGACTTTCATGAGGTTGATAAAATCACTTCTTTTTCAAAACTTTTCATCAAAAAAGTTAAATATTATTGTAAAATAAAATATTGTACCCTTAGCTCCAGAAGTTGAAACATTAATATATACTGTTTTTCTTTTATATATGCACTGGCCACGAGTAACATGCCGTCACCTTTCATTAAAGAACTCTTCATGCAAGGGTTAAAGATTGATCCTAAACGCACATGACACTTTAAGAAGACTACCAAACTACCAAATTTACTGGTGAAATTTCACAGCGAAGGTTTGAAACTTTTTTTCTTCTAAAAATGACTCC